GGACTGAAGAAGCAACAAACCCTTGGTGCTGCATCACTGGCTCTCATTAGTAAAGAGTGGAGGACGTCATGAATATACTTTCTCTGTTTGGTTGATGTAGGAAGGGAGAGAGCAAGTGAGCACATGAGGCAGCTAATGGTGAGTTCCAGGAAAGTTACGGCAAACTGCCAGTTACTTCCTGTTTAACGTTGAACATGGCGAACCGTTTGTTTGTTTGTGCTTCCCCATTATTTCTATCGCCAAAGGTGCCTGCTCCTTGCTCATTTGAGTGAAACGGAGGAGGAGAAACGGCGCATAAGGTCACAGATGCTATTATACTTTTTATTTTACGTTATCTGTGTGTTTCGAAACGTATTTTGTATTGATTTATTCTTGCACTGGAAACCAGCTGTTAGAGCGGCTGCCAATAATGCGTTAACATTAGGGTTATTTTATGTCTATTTCTCACCGTGTATCACCTGCATCAACACCGCATCCATAGGGCTGCCATTGTTGTTTAGAGGAGTAAGGTAATTGGTTAAGAGGGCTGTGTGACGTCAGAAAGCGTAACTGGGAGTACATCGATCTGGTACGAGTTCACGGGTGGGAAGTTACGGGTTTGACTGCCGTTCCAGTGCACTTTCACAGGTTACAGGTTGTGAAAACACGAGTTACGGGTTGCCTGGAACGCACTATTATATACGTAGCCTGGGAGGCCCAGGTGAGCTCCATCCAGGCAACGACCCTCCCATGTCAGCCAGCTGCCTGATGAGATTGACTGGAGCAAATCTGTGAAAGCTAGAGCACACAGTTGTAGCAGAAAGAAGCTAAAGACACTGCATTTTGTTTGTTACATGAGATTAATGGATCATTTTAGAGGCAAACTTTAAGTTACAACCTCTCCTTAAATAAATCTTCACCCACCACACTGGACACAGCAGAGCTTTTACTGCATCCCAAACCCAGGATGCAGAGGTGTCACCTCCACGTGGCCTACAGTTTGATATTGTAGCTGTGAGACCACAACACTCCTTTTTTAACATTTCCACAGCAGCATCACGCTGCACTGAGTGGAGGACCTTGGCGTATGTGAATGCAGGTCACAAGAGCACTAGTCATGGGGCCTGCCGCGTGGATGAATAATCACTAACTGTTTTCTCTTTCCCTCTGTCTGCACCGTCTGTGCCTGCTCTCTTGTTGAGAGCATGAGCTCTCAATTATCCAGGCTGGACACATGATCTCTCTGCCAGATCTCTGAGGAGGCCCAGTCACTGTATCATGTTTCCCCTACAGCTTCCTCACACAACCATTGTGGTGTAGCTACAGAAACAATCAATTCATGCAACATGATACAGTAACAAACATTTTATCCTTGACCTTTGTATTACTGCTTGGAGTAAATTGCAGAGTATCAGATGACTGTGAGATTATTGATCCCTAATATTATATCACATAGCAGGGAGAGCACCTGCCAGGATCAATAAACCAATAATCCAAGATACACACACACAGCTAAACAGTTTTAGGAATAATATTGGAGAAATACTCGAGTCTTACACTGTGGCATGCACCCTCATAAAAATATGTCCAAGTTAAAGCGGTCATTATGCTCCTGGACAGCAGTGGTTATCATGTTTCACATCACAATTGCCTTTCCTTTAAAACAGGTGTTGCCAAAATTCATAGCACACTCATGCTTTTAAAACACAAACGACATTTTCTTCAGAGAGCTCTGCACCCACAGGCAAAGTGCTTCCTGTCGCACTGATATAGCTGTGTACCACAGGAGCTGACAAATCTTTTTCGGATGAGACAATCGTACCTGTATGAAATGTCACATTGTCTGTACAAAGTCGTAACGGTGAAGAATGTCACTGTGTGTTTTCTGATTTGGTTTAATGTGATATAGCTGCAAGATACCAGGCTGTCGCAGCTTGTTTTAGGCTCTCAGATCTTTCAAAGGTGCAGCTAGAGTCACAGATTAAACCAGTGGCGCTGCTTTCATAGGGGTGGCCAAATGGGGCCACTGAAAACCTGGGGTGGCGCAAAACCAAAGCCATAAGCCATAAAGGAATGTTTGTTATTTATGAGGGGGGAGGGGTGGTGCAAAACAGGGGAGGCATGTCAAATAGTTTTTTAAGCACTGGGGAGGGACTTGTGTTTTTTATCATTTTGGCTTTGGGGGTTAGACACGCAACTTTAAATGGACACTCTTGAAAAGGAGATTTTTAATCCCAAGAGGTTTCGCTGGTTAAATAAAGGTTGAATAAATAAATAAATAAATAAATAAATAAAATATTTTGTATTTATTCTAAATACCCTCTAAGCCCTAAAACCTGCAGGATTTAAAGGCATTTTTTCTTTCTAAATTGCAAAATCACATCATTTATCACAGCCAGAAACTGAAAAAAAAACAGAAATTATTGTTGAATTTTCAATTTTCTGACTAACTTTCATCAAAATCACTTTGTTCTACATGTCACATTTAAAATTTGGCCAAAGAATCCCCTTTGCACTAACCAGACCCTGTGAAAAAATAAAATAAAAATGCATGGCAATAGTGGAAAACCAAGGCTTTACTCAACTCTCATATTTTAAATTTTTAAAATCTAAAAGCGTCAGCTGTGCCAAGTCACTGATATTATTCTGGCTGGCTGCTGCTCCCATTATTGTGGACAGTTTATTTGGTACAACAGTCATGACCATACCAGTTGTTCCCGCCAAAATTTAGCCTAACTTTGGATTGTAATTTAGTCCCTTCCTGACAAACTACTTCCCAACATGGTTGGTACCAAAACATGCTTTAGGTCGCGTAGTTTCATAGATACCCAGCCCGTTTTCACTCCCCGTGTCAAATACCATCGCTATGTCAGTGGATCTTGGCGTCAGACACCTGCGCACAGATGCATCCAACACGGCGATATGATACGCACCAGGCGGCTGCTCTTTCTGACGCAGCGGGCAACAACCCAACTCATCAAATACCTTTGCTTTGTCAGTGGACCTCAGCATCAGACACCAGCACAGAGGCAGTGTTTGCAGCAGTATGACACACACCAGGTGGCAGCAGTTTGTGACGCCGCCAGCATCTATCATAGTATAAAGTGTGAGAAAGTCCATTTAGGGTGAAGAAGTGGATGGATCAAAAAACACTCCAAACTCACTCGAAAGCCAGCTGTTTATTTCCTGTGTGAAACCATAAGTCAGTGGAGTTATATTAATAACAAACTAGCTGTTTGTATCACTACCCTTCTCTACAGCTGTGAAGCCTGGGTCACCTACAGTCGCCATGTGAAGTCCCTGGAACAGTTTCACATCCGCTGCCTTCAGCACATCTTGGGGGTCACCTGGTGTGACAGAGTGCCTCACACTGAGATCCTCAGGGGAACAGGCTGCAAAAGCATTGAGGCCACCATCACCCATCACCAGCTACAGTGGCTGGGGCATGTTCTAAGGATGCCCCACAACTGGCTGCAGCGCAGAGTGCTATATGGCCAGCTACACCAAGGCCAACGCTCTGCGGGAGGGCAGAAGAAGCAGGATAAAGACCAGCTGAAAACAGCACTTAAGAAGTGCAACATCAAGCCTGGGGTTTTGGAGAGCATGGTTGCTGACCAGAACACCTGGTGGCAGCTGTGCTTAGACAGGACCCAAGTACTTGAGGAGGAGAGGACAGCCAGGAGGCGGCAAAGAAGACACAGGAGAAACAACACACCAGTGATTGCTAGTAACACCACTAGTACATACACCTGCCCCACCTGATGCAGGACCTGTGGATCCAGGATAGGACTATACAGCCACCAAAAAACCCACCGTTAATACAGAAGTGGACGCCATCATCGGCCTCAATGGACAACTACAAGCAAGCAAGTTAATTTTGAAAAAAGACGTGTGCATGTAATGAGTAGCATTCTTGGAACCCATCAGCTGTATTCAGCGCCTGACTTCCGGCAGACGGCGATACAGCCTCTGGGGGCAGACCCCCGAGGCGAATTTCCGTTTCCGACATCCGTTTATATATAAGTAAATAAGCTGAACCATTGTGATGGATTCAGAGTTTGCAGTGACGCCAATTATGTTCCGCCTCGTTAGTTCACCGCACGGATCGTTTAACCTGGCAACAACTGCAGCCGGCTCAAACATGATTGGTCAATATCACGCAGACTACAAACAGCCTACAACCGGAAACCAGGGCTCTTCAGCTCTTCTTCCGGAGGAAAGATCTCCGGGGTTTGCCTACAGACTCTACAGTCACTGAATGTGGAGTCTGTATATAGAGACTAAATGAGTAGTAACTGTACATTTCCTTTATTTTGAAAAGACACAATGCATGTAACAAGCGTCAATTGACACGCCCTCCCTGAACGTCTAAACCTGATGCAGGAGGATACCTAGAGACTAAATATTTTGACGTGTAGGTCCACTGACAAAGTGACTGTGTTTGACGAGTTGGGATGAGAACATGTAGTGATAATACTTCCTAGCTTAAATAGTGAGCGTGCCACCGTCTCTTAAAAATCGTGATGTTGGCCAAATAATTTCCACCGGGTTGTGGCAGTAATTGTATCAGGGTGGCCATGGTCCCCCACGGCCCCCCTTGGGAGCACCACTAGATCAAACATCATAGAATCAATTACATAACACACAGGATACAAACAGCGTGTCTGCCTGAGGCTCCTCTGGTAATAACAAGGCTTTCATCATGTCAACACTCGGAGCTAACAGGCATTCTTCACCCACACTGATGAGTACACGTGATTCTAAAATCCACATTTCATCACTCTCTGGCTGCTTCTTCCCTATCCTGACGATAATTATTAAGAGAATTACATACAGGCATACGTGTCATTAGGAGGCACCATAAAGAGAAGAAGCAGAAGGGGGGGTTACACATGGAGGCCCGTGGGCTTCTGCATCTTTTTAAGTGTTGGTAATAAAATGTAGCCACCACCTCCTGAAGAACTCCTGGCCAATAGGAACACATTGAACAAATTTTTATGTGTCCTCAGAAAATGCTTGAGCATCCCCTGCGCTACTTCTCTCTGTCAGTCCTCAACATGTGCAGGTAGGACTGACTTCAGGGGGGAATTTCATGTCCGTGGTTCCTTCTGCTCCTGCATCTCACCACTGCTCCTCGTTGCTGAGCCTGACTGTCTCCCGTCAAGGAGTGGAGTGAAACCATGGCCTTCCACAGCTCTGGTTTGAAGAGGTAAAATATCTCATGTAGGATTTCTGTCAGGGCTCTTCATCAGCAGCCTTTTGTCTTTCAGCTTTTCATGTCATTTCCTTAATAATGTCGGCCCATGTCAGACTGGACATTCACTGATAATCTTTAATCTTCATTTAGAGAAAGGAAACATCTACATTTTCGTCTGTGCAGCCCGGGTGCAATAAGATCTGTAGCTTAGCGTAGATTAGAGAAGATGGCCTTTTGCCTTTTAATCTGGCCCACACACTCACATGCAGCCTGTAAAGCTCCACTGCAGGACAGGAAGTAAAAGGGTCTTTAGCCTGCCAGTGTTTCCATTCACTCTGTTGGGAAACAGCCTGAATGAATTTACATTTCATTACCGCCTACAGCATCGTCATGTGTAAGAACATTCTCACACATCTATCGCTCAAAGTCTTTGTTTGCACATTTTCTGCAACAGTCAACTTTAATATGACCAAATTGTACAGCTGATCGCTTCATGCTCAACAGCGATCCATTTTGGGGTAATTAAGACAAATGAGAGAGGAGAAATCGTGCCAGGAGTGTTGGCTCACTCTCAGCACTCCCCGAGCACCTAAGGGACATCACAGCATGGGTGGCAGAGAAGGGAAAGTCCCATCAAATGTTGATGAATGTCAGGAATTAAAGTAGATGACATGTAATTACCTAATTGACTTGACTGATTGATTTTGTGACGGGATATTTACTGGAATATATCTGGGGAATTTTTTGTCTTAGGAAGTATCTTCTTCACTTTTGAACTGTGGCAGCATCAAATGTCTCTAACTTTAAAACAGGGCCTTTAATCCTGCAGGAAGCAGAACGCACACATTTATAATTACAGCAAATTTGATGTGGGCCCATGTTTGACAGCATTTCATGTTACTATGGAGGCAAGGAAATATGTAAGCGCGCAGCTTAAAGCCTGCATTAAGACAGCTGCCAACTCTCTTAATCCTTCAATCTTTAAATGGCTTTCATGTCATTACCTCCAGTAAAAACTTATCCCTGAGGATCTATTTAAGCAAAAAAACATTCAAGCTGCAATTGCTTTGCAAGGTTGTTGTTTTATTAACCTAAATGTGCAGACAGATGCCACCTGAAAGAATTCATTTTGCACCAAAGGAGCAAGCAAGGCCTTTGTTGATTGTCTTTCCATTCTTTCATTTGCAGATGTTATACACAGAGCAACAAGTGTGCGACTGAATATTGTGAGAAATCAGAAGTTTATTGTACAATTAGAGATCCGTGAAGAAAAGTGACACAGAAAACAGACTTGTTTAGATGTGTTAAAAGAAATAACTTGACAAAAATGTCTTTAAGATAGAGAAGACTGATAGTACTTTAAGTCTGTCTGTTAAATATGAAGTAACGGCCAGCTGCTGCTTTCACAAAGACAGACTTTGACTCTCACTTGGATCAAACACAGTCATACAGGCTTTTGATTAACTTAGGACTAATTTACCAAGACATTTTCAAACTACAAACATAGCTGAAACTGTGTGAAAAAAATCCAGCAGAAAATGTTTTACCTTCTGGAAGAATCCAGCAGTTACAAGGTCATTTTAAAATTCACCGCAGAGTATAACAATACAAAAAGAAACCTGCATTAGCATAAAATCTCAATGCAGTGCAGCCCTGTGGCAGAGCTGAGAGGCTGTGGCTTCTTAATGTGGCAGGGCTCACTGCGCTCTTCTGTCAGGCTCAGGAGTTCAAAGAAAAACTACTGACGATGTCCTCGCATCTGTGTAGCTCCTAAAGGTGTCTGCGCTCTCTAAAGCTCTCTCTCTTTCTCATTCTGCACAACACTGTAAGAAAACCACAGTGCCTGAGCCATGTTTTCTTCTTCCACTGGTCAGCAGGTGTTACTGGTTGTAATATTCAGAGTTAGGCTTAAAATAAGTCAGTCTGCTTTGGTGCAAAACTGTCTGGCTTCCCTGAGACTATAAGAGCAAAATTCAGACTGGCCCTCAAACTACAGACGAGTCTAAAATATCTGAAACCGGCCCCAGGAGACAGTTGGGTGAACTGAGCTTAGTAGAGAGGAAGCAGGGAGGACGCTAGTTACAGCTAGCTGGGGGAGAAAAATGCCCACCAGTACCTCTACAGCTCATTAATCCTCACACACTGTTTCATCTTGATCATCCAAAACCATATAAATGGTATGTAGGCTAAGCTCAGCTCTATGCGCTCTGTGGCTCCAGAAAAATGTGCATGTGCATTTGAGGGCTCTGTAAAAACAAAGTGTATGAGCTGTCTGGACATGGTTTTCAACATGGAGGGTGGCTAATGCGGCATTTATACTTCTGCGTGGAATCAATGCAGTACCTCCAGCGTATGCCGTAGCCTGACATGCACCTCCAAAAATGTACCTACATGTTGCAGTGACCTCCTGTCTATTTTTGTAAGCTGAAACCATTTCCCTCAGTGGAAACAAAGCTTTTATACTTTAATTTCACAGATAAGAAACAATAAATTGTGAAGACAATAAAGCCTCCACAAAAATAGCATTTGAAGTCTTGTGTGTGATTTATCCTGGCTTCATATGAGCAGAGGAAATCTCCGCTAGCTGCTAGGCTAATTTATACAATGTGAAACGCCATAGACTTGTGCTAATAACGTTAGCATGTTGTATTTGTTTGGAAAACGTGTTTAGTATAAGACAGTTGTTTTGTCAGTGAACCTTGTGAGTTGTAATGGAGCCGAATTTTGTGACGTTACCTTTGTTAAATGTTGCTGTTGTCCCTGGCTTCATATGAGTAGAGGAAAAGTTTGTTAGCCGCTAGGCTAATTTATACAATGTAAAATGCCATAGGCTTGTGCTAATTATGTAAGCATGTTGTATATGTTTGGAAAACGTGTCCAGATAAAGACAAGTGTTTGTCTGTGAATGCTGCAAGTTATAGTGAAGCTGATTTGTGTACTTGTGTTTGAAACTGTCTCTATTGAGCCATGTTTAATGTGAGTTTAATGTGTGTTTTGAATCAACTAAACTTTACAGCAACTAATGTTTTTGTAGGGGTTAAAAAAAAATAGAATTTGTGGCTTCACAATTGGATATTTTATACCTCTGCTAAGCTAACTGTCTCTTGGCTGTCATTTTATATTTACTGGACACATATGAGAGTGGTAGAACTTTTCCTCTAAATCTTGTCAGGAAAGTCAACAAAAGTATTTCCCAAACTGTGAAACCATTTCTCAAAATCTATAAGGTTATATCTCAAGGGTTAAACATACACTTCCTCCTTGTCACATCTCATCAGTGACGTACAGCTGTACCAGTCTAGACTGCAGGAGGATCGGTATGAAAGGCAGACTACCAATCCCCCCGGTCCTCTGAAGATGCTCCTTTAACGTGAAGGGCAAAATGTTAGAGCCCAACACTTCCTCTAAAGAGACCTTGCTGACTTAGCCATTAGTCATTTCTCTGACAGCACACTCACACACAAACACATGAACACACTCGCCAAGCAAATGTACACATTTGCAAGAGAGTTCACACGCTGGAGATGGGTTACACCCTCAGTAACACCACCTCCACCTCATTCATATCTCAGATTGATGAGTAACACCCGTTGCCTTTGGACAAGAGTCTGCACTGCTGTGATTAGTCATGTTGATGTTGGGTTTAGGATTGTTGCAGAGAGCTGTCACAACTCAGGACACAAAAGATGCCACTCAAAGTGTGGATAAATGGTACCACTGCTTAGATACATGTACTGCTGATGCAGCTGCTGGCTGTTGCTGTCATTTATCATCTGCTTTGTATAGTGGATGTTGTCTGCACACGGCTCTCAACATGGAGGTGGCTGAGCTGGTGGCTGGCAGCTAACTGCGCTAACAGCGGGCTGCCAGACGACAAGGTGTGATGACTGGCTGCCAGCCTACTGTGGCACACTCGAAGTTAGGTGCTAGCACAAAGAGGCTTCTTATAGATGAGTGCCCTGTAAAACAACACAGCTTGAGATCATCAGTGGCTTTGAAAACCATTTTTGCCCCAAAAATTTTTTAAAAACATTGAGGAACTCTACCCCCTTCATCCCTCTACTTAAAGACAGGATTTTAGGTTTCAATGCCCCTCTGACTCATCCATGTGTTGTGTCTTGTTAACATGCTTCCCCTGTGTCACTGACTAAATTTGAGATTTTTAACCAGCTCCGTCATCGCACTGTTGGCAGTGTGTGCAAATTAAAGCTGTTGGGCTCTCTGGGTGCTGTGAGTGCCCAGAGCACCCCACAAATTTGCCGGAGGAGGTCCAATGTATTTGCCTGCAAACACTGCCCACGCTGTGACGACACAGAGCTGGATAAAAATCTGCAAGGTTTCTCTTTAACTAACCATATCACTATTTCCCCAACTCCCTGCTAGGTGTCATTTTATTGTTTTCTCTTCTCTTTTTTTAGCATGTAAAAAATGGGGAAAACACCAATCTGTGTCTGACTTGGTGTCAAGACAGCTCTGAAGGCAGAAATGATCTGATTGGTTAAGTTAGACCTGAATAGGCGGAGCCAATGGACCACAGTCTATCTGGCTGAGTAATATTGATGTCACCCATTGAAAGGCAAGAGGTCAAGATGATTTCAACTGATGATGATCTAGCCAACCGTCTTATTTGTTGCCTGCTAATCCTTCTGTATAATGAAAACTATAATAAAAATATTATTTATTATGTCTTTTTTATCTTTTAAAAAACAATCCGAACTCATCTGGTACAAAATTGGGTGGTAACTGTCTTAACCTTTTACATATAAGCAGTCATTTCATTCATTGTTATTATTACAAAATATAGTATAGCAGTTTGAATATTTTAGCTACGACGGAGTATTAGGGCCACATTGAAGAAAAAAAAATTCTGAGATTTCGAGAATAAAGTTGTAATATTACGACTTTATTCTCGAAATAGAATAAATTTAAATTTAAATAAAATAAATAAAGAATAAAGAGAATAAAGTCGTAACTGAGAAAAAGTCATAATATTATGAGAATAAAGTTGTAGTTTTTAAGGAAATAACCAACAACAAACACAATGGGTTAGAGGATGAACCTGCTTGTGGCAGCTGCTCTTTGTCTCAGGTGTGTTGCCTCGACAAACACATTTGGAGCTTTTCTCGTAATATTACGACTTTATTCTTGTAATATTACGACTTTATTCTCGTAATGTTACGACTTTATTATTGTAATATTACGACTTTATTCTCGTAATATCATGACTTTTTATCGGGACGACTTTATTCTCGTAATATTACGACTTTATTCTTGTAATATTACGACTTTATTCTCGTAATATCATGACTTTTTCTCGGGGACGACTTTATTCTCATAATATTATGAGTTTATTCTCGAAATCTCAGATTTTTTTTTTTTCTTCAGCATGGCCCTAATACTCCGTCGTATTTAGCCTTAGTTAATGGTAAACTATTTGAGATGATGTAATCATGCCATTAAAACTGATTGCAGGGTAAAAAAATCCTCCCAAATTAACTGATCAGTCCATGAAGGATCTGTCCTGAATGCATCACAAATATTGTAGAAAGAGTTGTGTGTTCCAAATACAAGTAATCTTTATTATTTAATTCAGAAGAAAATTGCTGCACCTCCACTCGACATTTACTGTCATATACCATTTACAGTAATCTGTTTTATCTTCACTGAAATGCAAAGCAGACACAAATTGGTGTAAACTTTTTCTGTGTATTCATGTGCACAGGAAGAGCACAGAGGACGCCAGCAAAGTGCTTTGTGTCATCCTTGAGGCGTTTTATTGATTTCGACACAAAGAAACTATCAAAAAGGATTAGCTGCATGGCTGAATACTGATTTTCTCCATCATTCCTGAACAGGAAACAACTGTGGCGTCCATCGATGTCGGCGTGCTCCCCTGTCTGTATGGCTCTACTGTCCCTGCTCCTCGCTCCAGCACTTGGACGTAAGTCACCGGCAGTGCAAAGCTCAGTCACTGACGCATGACAAAGTCAGTGTACCGTATGTTGCCTGTATGCCACTGTTACTGTGAAATGGTTTGTCATGTAAACACAGACAAAGAGGACTCAGGTTCATGTTGACTGTTGCTAGGTCATTCTCTTTATCAGAACTCACAAAGCAAAGGCCAGAAATAGCAGGCACACTGTGCTGGTCTGTGTCGTAGGATTAAATCAGATTAAATGTCCCCTCTGATAATCACAACAAGCCCATTCTCTGCTGTTGTTTGGGGACACAGTAAATCTAACATGAACGCACAGTGAGTGCCAGATACAGTAGGTGTACTGCTTTCCGAAACTCGCCTCATTATCAGGGCGCACACATGCGACTGCACGTGACATCTTAATTGCGGTTCATCTGCCGCTCATTGCACTAATGACTGGCTTTCTGAGCGTAATGCCGTGGCAAGCAGTAACTTTAACAACTTGAGGCCCACATGCACAGTCAGATAAGTGTTTAGTGGTAGTAAATATGACATTATAAATACCGTCTCACCACTTGATCTCATTTCTCAGCAGTTATGTGGGATCTCTGAACGGCTTCCAGATGTGTTGTGTTCATGCGGCTCTCTGTAAATGAGCTGACTCAGGTTATTGACTGGGGAGGCCCTCTGGCTGTTGACATCCTTGTTTCGTGGAGTTTTTGGAGAGGCTTTTCCCCTTCAGAACAGCAGCGCAGCACCCCAGGGATAGCCCCCTCTTCTGACACATCCCAGGAATTGATTTTATACTGTATGAAATCACGTCACAGTGAACTCTTTTAGTTTTTAGGTGTGACTAGCAGATCTATGGCTCACTCTGTTGGGTGGTTGCTCAGTCGGTCCACATAATTTCCCTTTGGTAGCCACAGTTTTTACCCTAGGAGGCTGAAATGTGGCGTGGACGTCAAATGCGAGTGTGCGTGTGTCAAAGTGTGTGTTTGCGTTCATGCCAATTGACTAAAAGAGGAAACAGGGATTTATGCAAATATGTCAATGCAGTTATTGCAAATTCGTGCTTGTTTTAAAAAGGTGATGGGCAAAAACGAACAAACAATTCTTTTTGAATGACTCTTTTAGTGTCAAAAAGGTGTGACCCGCCAAACTCTGTCTCCCTCTGCCTCTGACTGGCTTACCCTCAACCTAACCAACAACAACCAACAACAGCAAAGAGTACCACCCAATCAAAGGGAATGTGGGGTGGGTCATGCCTTCACTATTCTAGAAAATGCAAATTCATTCAACACATTCTCACTCTGACCTCGTCACATATTGATGTTTGGTTTCCACTTCCACATACGACCTGCAAGGTACCCTGGGTGTGTTGGTTGTTGACGTTCTGGGACTCCATGTCAAGTTCTGCCTGTTCCATGCATTGTCTTCTTTCAAAACACGCTTCTGTTTCACAGGAAATGTAACGCTTACATACAGTCTCTTTCAAAATAGTAGGTTAGTAGTTAGGTTTCGGAAAAAAGAACAGGATTGCCTTTAGAATCTTACGGGACGTGAACACCGCTCCCTCTGGGTGAAAGTCTGGGATTGCTGGACCCAACCATCAACCCTCCCGATATGACCCCTCTTCGCCACCTTAACTTTCATCCTTGTCTTGCTGCGCTTTCCTCTGACACCACCGGGGGCCGTTAAACTATAATGGCAACTGGTCCCGTATCATGTCAACTTCAAAGGACGCCTTTTTTAATTGGTTTCTGACACCATAAGTCACTGCACAAGCACCAGATTACGACGACTTTGGAGTGAGACCAGGCTTGGTCAACCTGTTGAATGTCCGAGTGCACTGAATAGACAAGTGAGGACCGATTAAATCAGACTCAAGACGAGACCTCTGCCAGCCAAGGTGGTGGGGGCATTCAGGTGCTCCTCAGATGGTAATTTTTCCGACTTTTGTGTGCTAATGAAGTTTAAGTTGTAATGTGGAAACAACATGGATGCTACAAAGTCTAAGTTCTAGGCAGAAGGCTGCAGAGGTAACTGGGACGTCTGCTGCTCGCCTCTCAAAGAATGACAGATCATTGGCCAGGAACATCTCTGTAACATCCTATTAAGCTTATGTAGCCTACCTACATAGAGGTGGAACCCTGAATCAGTGCATTAAAGAATATTTTGTCTTTTTAATGGAAACTTGTTGCATTGAAGAGAAGTTTTGTGGGGCGAGCAGCACTAGCTGTTAAACATATATGTACTATAATGACATTTCTGACACCAGTTTTTGGAAAAAGCATCAAAACTTGGAAGGTTTGATACATTTACACGCATCACCTCGAAGAAACCGAAACTGTAAATCACTAATTTAAACATTAATTCAAACATCTTAGGACCTGTGAAATATATACCAAGCACAACTGTTTTACTGAAACTACACGAGTCCTTACTCTGTTCAGTCTAAACTCTTCTGAATACAAACATTAACATCAGTTTGTTAACAGAATTGAAAAACTAGGCCAGTCTTTTATTTTGTAGATCAGTGAAACAAAATCTCGGCCAACATGAAAGTATAGATTTTTTTTTTCCAAACTGAGAAACAGTATTGATGAAAGCTGAAATCAAATAGCGCAGTGATGAATTGCAAGTTGCAGCCAAAGGAGGCTTGCATCTTGATAAATCATACACATAAATAAAAAGGAAAGTGTCTCAGCTGCCGTATTGACCTTCTAAAATGTTTCCGATGACATATGGCTGCGACCAGAGTCATGCAGCACTGGGTGCCACATTAATCAACGTTATGTTTCCATCTCTGAGGACATATTTGGATCATAAAGAGGTGTCTGAGCAGTCGAACAATGTGTTGATTAATGTTTGTGCTTTTAAATGAGTGAATATGTAAAAAAATGTAAAAAGAAACTCTCATTAAAAATGCACCACAGTGCATTATGATGTTAATCCACTCTGACACTAAAGACCTTGTTTCTCTCTTGTATTTGTCTCCTGGAATACCCTCACTGAAATAAACTGACCGGTGAAATACTGCATTTGTTCAATCCAGCTCGGGATTATAAGGATAACAACATTATTGCTTTTTGTTTTGCTCCATCAGAACTAGACCTCAACCGACTAGATGGTGATACCGTCTGCCCACCGATGAGAAGCGGACAAGATGACCTTCCAGGTACTGACCTAAAGTCGGCTTGTGTTCAAACAGAAGTGAAGCAGAGGCTGTAAAAGAAAAAAAAGTCTAAACCTTGAAATCCCTAAAAGAGAGAATACACTTTCCAAAGGAAGGTGGTGAGTTTAATTAGTTGATGAGGGTGGGCTGTCTAATGCCTCAAAACACCTCTGGATTTCAAATGAGGCAAATAAAATGTTCCACTTGAGCTTTACAGAATCTGAGTTGGAACAATCTGAACTCAGCAAGATTGTAATTGCTCACCACTGCCCTGTTTTTAAACACATCTGCACTCATGCTGCTCTCTGCTTTGAAAGAGTGACGCATTGTCAAAGAGAAAAGTTTTTTATTTTACATTTAAATCATTATTGTTTCCTTATTTCCTTGTAGGCTAGTGTTAATGTTGTTTTAACCTCTGCTGCTACTGCCGTAACTTCTGTAATAAACATCACAGGAATTAATACGTTATCCTCTGTAGGTTTTGATCTGATCACCCAGTTCCAGCTGGACGTGATCCCTCTGAAAGGCGTGAGGAAGGTGGACGGCTCCACTGCCCACCAGGTGGCCTACCGCCTGGACCGCGAGGCCAACTTCCAAATTCCAACCATGTAAGTACAGTACAGAGGATTTAAAGGAAAACAGATAAAACACACGCAGGGAGCAGTGGTCCTCCTGTTGCAGGTGTTGCATTATTACAGGTCCGCCGCAGATGTTCCAGCATGGAAAGCAGCATGTAATTGGTAGACAAAAACATGTCTGGGCCTATTTGACGTTTCTTAGATACAAAGGTAGAGGAGAGGTATTTTTGTGTGTGTGAGGAGGGGGTTGGAAAAGCATATTTCTTGAAGCCCTTTGTATCTACAGGAAATGTTCAGTCAAAGACATATTTACTTCGCCTTTTTGGTGATTTATCTTCTCTTGTACTCACTCTTTTGAGGGTTTGGACTGAACAAAGGCAGCCCTGACTTCCTGTTAACATTCTCCCTAGTTTTTAATTAAAGGTTAGTTGTAGCAACATGGCCGGATCAACCTGCTTGGGGATCCTGGGGCAGAAATAATCTATGGGCCCCTCATGAAATGTCCCACTCCTTTTAAAAAAGAGGAATGTTGCTTTGAAACAAAAGTCAATTTATCAAATAATTCACCAGTCTAAACAGTAAATGGACAGAAATTGCGATAATTAATCTTTAAAGTGTCTTATGTTGCATTCTTATTGTGTAAAATCAGATTTTGGCCCCTTAGTAAGAAGGACCTCAAGACTGGGAACCCACTTAAAAAAGCCCCTTAGGTACAGTCCAGCTGTTTTGTATTGCACTCCCATCAAAGTGGGGGTTTTAAAGAAAAGAAGGAATTTAGACAAAATCTATTAAAACTCTTCAAGTCCATAGTATCCATAGAATCAAGGTCTTAAAATACTGGACCCTAAATTTCCCATAATACAGCTGAAAAAACATATTTTATTAGACCCTCAATGCCAAGTAAATGCCCACCCTTTTCAAATTACACTCCCCTGATGTGTAACTATAGACCCTATAAAATAATGGACGTCAACATCGTGACATCACCAACTAGTTTGTGGACTCCTGTTCTGAAGCCTCAAATTTGGCATTTTGACAGTCGCCACTTTAGATTTTTGGAGCCAGAAGAGACCATATTTGGGCAGGAGGGTGGAGCTAACCTTAACACTAGCTGCTAGTTTGGTTAGCATGGTGCATTCATAGCTATGATTAATTGTGATAATGCTAATTTTTGCTAGCGAAAAACAAGATTAATCCCATTAAAATACAATGTACCTACCAGAAAAGCTGATTATCTGACTCCTTAGAGGGTCTTTCAGTACAACCAAACGCTAAACCAGACTTTTTTAAGCAGCCAAATGTTAAAATTCACTTTATTGAACTAAAGTCACACTGTAGTAGCGATGGCTATAGCTTTGCCTATACTCTTTGAATCTGGGGTACAGTATGGTTACATAATTAACGCTGTACCCATGGTAGTGGCTTGTCAACGGACAGTGCCCACCTGTCACTCAAAGTGGCCACGCCCTTAACTATGCATAACTTTCAGCTTTGATAAAATGCTATAAGGTGACTTAAATTAACATTCAACCCCCGTACAGTTGTCAAGAAGGAGGAAATTAGCTGTAGAGACTAAATTCGTTTTTTTACCAGGCTGAAAACGTGTTTATTTCTGCTGTAAAGTTAGGCATTTTAACACAGGGGTCTATGGAGATGGACTAACTTTTGGAGCCAGCCTCAAGTGGCCATTTGAGGAACTGCAGTTTTTGGCACTTCAATGTTGGCTTCATTTTTCAGTCCTAAAAGTTGCCGATAGTGTGTAATGCAAAAGTTTGTAAGTTTGTTGAGATGACATCTCTTGAGAGACAAACTGAGTAGTAGCCTACTCCTCATGATGAGTACACTGGGCTTGGTGGAGTGCCCCTACTTTTATCACTGAATTATATTACCTCAAACCAAAGGACACAGTGAACCTGCTGGAGTCAGAGCTCTTTGAGGTCTGTGATCTTGTGTCACTTTTACACTTCCCCAGCCTATAATGCAGCCCTGTGTACAACTACAATATCAACATAGAGACATTTTTATCATAGCGTTCTGCACTAAAATGAACAAGTCAAAGAAATGTCTAAATCACAATTTCACAAAACTGGTTCCAGTACAGAGTGTTCAGGTTAATGGCTTTGCCACTTTACATAACCAAAGACGTCCCCTGGTGTTTCCCAGTGTGCCTGCTCCAGTCTGTTTTGGCTAATCTTTCCCTGCAGGCCAGCTTTCCTTAAAAGCTGTTACATAACTCGCTGGCACTCTGCACCAACACCACTCGGGCCTGTCACACTGAATGTAAATACATGTTTATTTCCTCCACAAGTCCTATGGCACAGACTGTGCTTTGAAGTCTGTCGCTGCCAGCGAGTTTTATGCTGCGCTCCCTCCCTTTTTATCTGCAGGACAAAGGCAGCACATAGTTTAGACTTTGTCACCTCAGGCAAAGCTAGAGTGGTCTTCATTGGCTTTATTGGCTTACAGGAAACTCTTTTTTTTATTGCCTCACCTTGATCGTTTACAAGACGGTAAAAGTCCGGCTGCAGCGCCCATCTATGAACGCACCACCTACTGAGAATCTGGCTCGTTAAAAATGCAGAAAGCACCAGAGTGTGGATGCTAACCAGGACTAATGTTGTAACTGAAGCAGTGATTTATGCACTCAGGCAGCCTCCTTCACGGTACCTTATTTTGATATGAGCACATCTTGTTTCTTTGATGCATGTAGCTTAATTCATTTGTATTTTAAGTTATTTTTATCCACATTGCTTGATTTGATGAGTGCCGTTTATTTTGTCATCATGAATTGACATACAAGATACAGCATTTTGAGAAGTATAACTCTGAGTGTCGTATTCAAGTGTCATTCAATAAGAGCATCATTCCTCCCTGATACATCAGCTGATTTGAACCCCTGTACTCAATTACTTCCTCAGCCTCAACTTCCCTCGAGGCTTCCCTGAAGAGTACTCCTTCATGGTCACCTTCCGCATGATCAAGAACACAGTGAACAAGGTGTGGAACGTCTGGCAAGTAGTGGACGAAGACGGCAACAAACAAGCCGGAATGAGGCTGAACGGCGACCAGCAGGCTCTGGAGTACTTCCTGATGGGCGCTGATGGCAACCTCCAGACCGTCACATTCCCCGGTCTCTCTGTGCTCTTCAACACCAAGTGGCACAAAGTGATGATTGGCGTGGAGCGCGAGCAGGTCACTCTGTATGTGGACTGCCAGCCTGTGGATCAGAAGCCCATCAAGGGCAAAGGCCCCATCAACACAGAGGGAGACACTCTCATTGGCAGGCTGGACGCTGATCCCGACGCCTCCGTAGTGGTAAGGGAGGATGGAGAGTTGCCTGCTGCATTTAATCACGCTCACTGACTCTACTCAGAGGCTCTATCAGTGAAATGGTGCTCTCTGTGAACAAACACGTTCAGGTTTATATGTGTGCTGAGCTTGGCTATAATTCTAAAGTGCTGCTGTCACAGCAAAGCTGCTCAGCTGGGTTCCAGTGGAAAAAAAAGAAAAAGTTAATCCCTGCAGAAAATAGCATTGGTGAAACATCGAGCTCAACAACCCATAGAGGGAATTGATTCAGAGCTACAAAGAAATAACTGCACCATGACGAAGCAGTTCAAGATCCTTAGTCAGTGTCACATCTGAAAAATGACTGCCGTGGTATTTAACATTAACATCTCTTTTCAGTTTGAACTCCAGTGGATGTTGATTCACTGTGACCCGAAGAGGGCCCAGAGAGAGAGCTGCAACGAGCTGCCTGCCACCGAGGTACAGTAACAAGGACTCGGATCTGCTCAGCATCTGCTGTGGTTTGTGGTTCTATTCAGGCTGATAGGCCCTCCAGCATGCTGAGAGAAAACGAGGGCAGAAATGCTGAGATGGAGTTGCAGAAGTGTAACTGCCAGGCACTTTCCTTTAGTACATCCAAAGGTTGCAGTTCATCCAAAACAATTTGCAAGTTGGACAACAGCAGATTGGAGTTGCAGCCCCGAGCAAACATTTCTCGGAGGCAGAGCTGTGAAGGAGCAGGCAGACATGATCTCACTGGCTGTGTTAAAACCTCAGCACATGGAGCAAAAATAAAAACCCTACTTAGCTAACTGGCAAACTTTCAAAACAAAGAGGAAGTTTGTTCAAATTAAAAGTCTGAGATCAGAAAGCCGACTTTCACAGTGTGCATAGTGCGAGATTTTTGTGGTTATCATTTCATATAAAGTCAGCACAGGAACCAGCGCTTGTGTTTATGTCCGTTGGCAGCTTCTGCAACATGAAAACAAGTTCCACATGGATACATCTGAACCGGAAAGTTACTGACTTTGCCCAAACAAACGTTGGAATAAGATGAAATTAAAAGTCACAGTAAAGGGTAGTATAATAGAAAATGCCTTAACAGGTTGCGTATGTTGTGCTGCCTGAATCCACTTTCCAAGTACAGGCTCACTACCTGCTGCTTGATTGACAGGAATGCTGCACAGCACCTGCCGCCTGCTGTTTTAGACCATTAAAGTGGTTTTCTCCACCCATGTTGCTAAGGAGGGCGCAGCAAGGTAGCAAAACCAAGCAGTGTAACCTGCTCTAAAAAAGAAGCTTCAATGGAAATAACTGTTTTTTTTTTTCATTTGTCCCTCCTTTATTATATTTGCTAAGATGGAATTTAGGTTAGTTAGCTTAACTAGCTAAGTTTACGTTAACATGAAGCAGTGCATTGATTGAACTGAGCTCATCTCTAATGAAACTTTCAAGCTGCAAGACTTATTTAAGAATGGGACTAAACTTTAAGCTTCTTGAAGGGTCGTTTACTCTCTAATTTCTGACATGTCCAACCTGGTCTCACTCCGAAGTTGTCGAACTCTGGCCCTTGATCAGTGACATCCTGTAGCCATGCACCACCAAAATAAAATTGTCCTCTCACGTTAACATGATATGCATTCTCGGAACCCATCAGCTGCATTCGGGGTCTGAATTCCGGCAGACAGTGATATAGCCTCTGGGGGCAGACCCCCGATTTTTTGGCATTCCGGTTTGATTTGGATGGAGGAGGCGAATTTCCGTTTCCGACTTCCATTTATATATAAGTAAATAGGCTGAACCATTGCGATGGATTCAGCGTTTGCAGTGACGCCAATTATGTTCTGCCTCGTTAGTTCACCACACGGACTGTTTAACCTGGCAACAAACGTGATTGGTCAATATCACCCGGACTACAAACAGCCTACAACCGGAAACCAGGGCTCTTCTGCTCTTCTCCCGGAGGCAAGGTCTCCGGGGTTTGCCTACAGACTCTACATTCACTGAATGTAGAGTCTGTATATAGAGACTACATGATATGTGACTGGTCGCTGATAAAGGCACCCAATGGCATCGGGGGAAACATGGCCGGACACATTGTAAACTAAGAGGGCAAAAGTCTAAGTAGGGCAGGCAGAAGGGGTGGTAGATGGGTCAAACAACCACGACTTTCACCTGAAAGGGCTGTGTTTGTGTCCCGCATGTAAAGCCAAACCCTATTCTCTTTGACTAAACCCAACCAGGTGTGCGAACATCTACAACCAACACACCCAAGGGACCTTGTACGTCATATCTCAATGTGGAAAGTCCATGACCAAACATCGATATGTGACGAGGTCAGAGTGAGAATGTGTTGACATGTCACAAGTTTTGGCCAACCGTCGTCACTGTGACAGAAACAGAGCGTCTGAAGGTGTCATGGCGCCATGATGTCTCATGCAGACAGAAAATATTAAGGCCGGGTTGGTCATGTTGTGCCAGTAGCATATGTCAGCTGAACAGGAAGTATGCTGGACTTTGAACACAATGTGACAAACTGTGGAATTAAAATTGCCAAGTCCATCACATGATGCCATTGGGCCCAAAAAGACATTTTCCCATAGACTTACATTGTGAAAGACACGTCTGTAACTCGGGGGATCATCACAACCCCCATGAAATGACTTGTTTCAGTGTCAGGATTTCATTAGTTCGGTCCGATAAGATTTTACAGTCCGGAAGAGCTTCAAGAATAAATCAAAACTTAGCAGAGAACTCAACCTAATAGTAATGTTCGCAATATACATTTCTGCAAACCACCAATACATTACATTTATAAGTTTCAGAAGTATATCAGCATTGGTAAAGTGACATATTATGTGAGCTGACTTTGTCATCTGGAGGTGGAGGGAATGGTGGATGGCGTGTCATCTAGGCGAGACGCCTGCCAAACTGCAGACCACTGTTTGAGATCAACAAACAACAAAACCAGTTGTTTTTCCAGTGAGTCATCACAGTGTTACCAGCAGCTTTGTAGCCACCAAATGTGGCTGCTGTTCCACTGTGGATAGTGTCATAAAAAGTGTCTTTTATAAACCTCTCAGAAAAAAAAGAGAGAGGAAGTAGCATTCTTTGTACATACATACAATATACATACATACATGCATATATACATGTAATTGATTAGAAAAAATCAGAAAAATGTATTAAAATAATTGTAATAATAATGAAATAAGTAAACTAAAACAACAAATTATGCTGCATTTATGTAGTTCTTTATCATTATTAATAGTCTCTCATTCCTAATATCTTTCATGTCAAAAGTCGTAAGTATGACTGGGAAATACAGATTTTTATCAAAGTAAATTTGGCACTTTGTAGTATCGAAGTGCCAGAAAAGGTTAACAAATATAGATGTTTAACATCAGCCAAAAGCCATCATCTGCGACACCCAAATTAACCTGATATGCTGCTTTATTGTAAATGCACACTTTCCTTTTTTCCCTCACAAAACCAGTTCTGCAAATCATATAACCATCTCATCCATTTAGTACAAGTCGTGAATGTAAATATTTCAGCATTAAAATGGTTAGAAATCATTCAATAGAGTGAATTGGCAGGACTTCTGTGACTGACTTACTGATTTACATTTTTCCATTGACTACATATGCAGCAATAAGGTAACCAGTAGGAAAGCAACCCAATCTCCAGAAAAAAATGTTGGCACTGCACATTTCTGCAAAACACATATTACTTTTAAAACTTTTTTTACTTCTCGCTGTGGTCAACATGTGATTAGGTTTAGGCACAAAAAAAACTTGGTTATGGTTCAGAAAATATCACGTTTTGGCTTAAAATACCCAATTTTGAGGCACGATCCCGCCTCTTTAAAACTAGAATTATCGGCTTGCAATTGTATGCCTCCATGAACCAATCAAGTTGCACTTACAGGTTACATCCATGCTGGTGAAAACATGAATGCTTCACCAACATCATCCCCCGGCAGCACAGAAGATCTATACCTTATTCACAGTTACAACGTGGACACCCAAGATTAGTGTCACCAATTCAGTATCTGACCAAATGTCTCTCCTTCTGTTCCTGAGATATGACCTTGACAAATGGAAAGAAAAGTGTTTCTGACAAACATTATGATGTCAGGAATTTATACATTGGTTATGACAAAATTTCACAGAAATGACTCATAGGATAAATGAAGTTATGACATTTCATATCCAAAATTTTGTCATAATCAATGTATGAATTCCTGAGTTGTGGCCAAAAACCTGTTTTATGTGAAAATTCTATTCAGTTCATATGTGAGTCCAGGTGGACGTTTGTGCCAAATTTGAGGAAATTCCCTTAAGGTATTCTTGAGATATCACATTCACAAAAAATAGACAAACAGAGGGTCACAGTAACCTTTGACCTTTGACTATCAAATTCTAATTAGCTCATTCTCAACTCAAAGTGGACATTTGTGCCAATTTTGAAGAAATTCAAATTTGGATGAGATATTGCATTCACAAGAAAGAAACGGATGCAAGGCCATGGTGATGTTGACCTTTGACCACTAAAATCTAATCAGTTCATTGTGGAGTCAAAGTGGACATTTGTGCCAAATTTACAGATGTCCTTCAGGTATTCTTTAGATATCAAGTTCATGAAAATGGGATTGAAGGATGAATGGACAACCAGAAAACATAATGCCTATGGCCACGGCTATCGCCAACACATAGCCATATAAACAGCCATGTTTTGTGGCACCATCCTCGCTGGATAAACAGTGACAGGTCGCTGAAAAACAACCAGTTTTGTTATTTGTTGGTCTTAAATTGTGGTCAGGGGTGGTCTGCAGAATGGCAGGTGTCTCACCTAAGTGTCTCACAATCCACCCACCGATGACATAGTCCCCTTAAGGCCATTTTACAAATGTTGACATGACACGTATGACACATGAAAATTTAATGAATTCACAGTTTGCAGAAATGTGCAATGCCAACAGTTTCCTCTGGCAGCTGGGCTGAGGGAAGTTAAGACAATGTTATCCTCATATGAAAACACACACACACACACACACACACACACACACATTGTGTCAGACTGCGTACAGTTTATGGCATTCATAACTAAATATTATCTTTCACTTCAGTGTGGCTTTAGCACAATTAATGAGATTTCTGCCTGAGAGAAATACTTGTAGCCTGTAATAAAAATGCTACTCTGCTGTCTCACATCTCAGTTTGCATAAAGTCTGCAGTGCCATGAATTAGAATTAGCTCGAGTGTTTTAATTCAGTCACTTATATCAAGATGCAAATATTCCTTCCCACTGTAGACAGAAATATTTCCTGGCCTGGTGCACTCTATTAGATTCAGGCTAACATCCCTGCATCGAGCTGTGAGGTGGTTCTGTACATGGGGAGTGTTGGTACTATGGGCTGTATATTCAATGACAGCATGACGTCTACTCACTACTATGACCATGACCAGGCTTCTGCTGACACTTTTGGTGAGGGTGGTGTGACTACTTTCACTAACTCTCCCTTTATCTGATTTCTCTTGCTTCTTCAGATGTATGCCAATGCTGAGGTATTTATTTATCTTCTCTACTTTCTTTTTGCTTTGTGATTTTAAGCCAATAATCTACTTCAGTGCTTTGGTTGCCTAATTGCCTCATTGCTTTGTTCTAAATCTCATTTATATTGGTGGTTTTTGCTTGTTTTCTGTTTTAGGGCACAGAGATATAGAATTATACCCGAAATGTCCCAAATTAGAAAAACACCTGCAGGCTGTAAAAAGACACATGTAGCCAAATGAATTTACATTTACAAAAAATTAATAGCCCTCTTTTGTCCAAGCATTTGTCCAATTTTCTGTTAAACTGCTTTTAAAGCATAATATTAAATAACATTTGATTTGCTGTAAAATGTTTTGCCATCCTGGATAAATGATTTAATGAGTTCAGTCCCTGAAGGTGTAAGTTTACTATTTTTTAATTAAAATAAATCTTTAATTAAAAGTTTTTATTCAGTTCTTTCACTGCCATTTGCTGACTGACTGTCTCCACTCTCAGCCTGACAAATCAGTCCCAGGCCCCCCAGGAGCCCCTGGCCCAGAGGGCCCCCGAGGATCCCCAGGAGAAAACGGCAGAGATGGAAGAGATGTAAGTGTTTCCTCCTCGCTAACTCTTTTCTCTGCATTCTTTCTACAAACCCCTAAAGTCCGAATCGTCTGTCGTCTGAATCATTCCTGTAACTATACAGCCAGTATTCTTCTCTTTATGTCTCTGCTTTCTTTAACTATGTTGTTATATGCATCTCTCCAGGGTCTTCCAGGTTCTCCTGGCAGTCCAGGCACTCCTGTAAGTACAAAATGCTAAATGATACAAAATGCTTTGCAGGTTGTTGATCTGTTCTCTCCATTTTTATGTGATACCTCAGGGAAATTGTTTACTTTGCCTCTGTGGTTGCGCATTCAAAGAATTACAAAACTGATTTTTCCACAGCAACGTGACTTGCACAACGTATAGCCTAAACCCAGTGCCAGACCTACCGCATTCAGCATCCTGGGCAAGCTTTCCCTGGTGACCCAGCCCCACCCCCACACTTATTATAAACATAAACAAGAGCTAATGAGACATCAACACAAAGGCGGCCCTGAGGCGGCTGTCTATATTGCCTATAGGAAGATTCCCCACTGCCCAAAGCCAGCCTCAACCGAAACCAAACCTGGCAGGTCCCAAGTATCAGGTTTCAGGCTGGGTTTGAGCTGTACTGCGTTAAAATATAAAAAGTACAGTAGAAAGCCAACATCAAACAATTTCAAATTACAGCATTTAGATGTTAACAGTTTAAGCTGACTTCATCTTATGTGTATCCCATAGACTTTATAAAATAATGGACGTAGCCACCGTGACGTTACCCATTGGTCTGTGGACTCCCTTTGTGAAGCCTTGAGTTTGGCATTTTGGCTGTCGCCATTTTGGATTTTTGGAGCCAGAAGGGACCATATTTGGATGAGAAGTTGGAGATAACCCATGTTAGGTGCTAGCTTGTTTAGCATGGTGAATCTGTATCTATGGTTAACTGTGACAATGCTAATTTTATGCTACCGAAAACTGGCTTGATTAAAACAAAATGTACTTCCTGGACAAACTGATCCCTTGAAGGGTCTTTTTTGAGTAAGACTTATTTAGTGGCCCAAAACATTTCAATTAGCTCCTAGGAACTGAAAACACACAGACATAGGGACAGCTACAGCTTTTCCCATACCCACTTGTCAATCAAAGGGTCCATGCCCTTAACTTTGCATAACTTTAAGGTTTAATAACGTCTAAATGAGTGAGTTAAATAAAAATTTAGCTCCCGTAAAATTATCATGAATGTGGAAATTAGCCATAAAGACCAAAACTGTTTTTTGTACCAGGCTGTAAAGATGTTCATTTCTGCTGTAAAGTTGAGCATTTTAACACGGGGGTCTATGAGGACTCACTTTTGGAGCCAGCCTCAAGTGGCCATCCGAGGAACTGCAGTTTTTGGCACTTCTGTCTTGGCTTTATTTTTCATCCCCAGAGATTGTTGCTTGGTATATCCCTGTCTTCTATCCCTTACAAAAATGCTTGAAACAAAGTCACATAAACTCTCAGACAAAGTTGTAGCCTGCTTATTAAGAGAATGCTTGCTAACGAGCAAGCTACACGCTAACTGGCAAGCTATTGTACTTTTTAACCACGAGAAGTGGGTCGTCACCTTTCCTAAAGGTAGCCCAGACTTCCTACTCCCCATCAATGCCCCAATCTATAAAAAAAGAATCTGGTGAAGGATCCAGATTTTATGGATTTTAGAGCTTAATTGTTGTGTAACAGTTGTTATCTAACAGCTTTTTAATTGAAAAGATATGGAATCAGGCACAGAGATCTAGCTATCCTCTCTGCCTACCTTTGCCTCCAGGACAATCACTGTACTGCATAATGAATTTTACACATTTTCTTCAAAGTCAGTCTCTTTACAGACAACACAAACAATGCCTTTAAATGAATTTGCACTGATACATTACAGACCTGGAACTGTTTTATTACCGTCGCTGATTGAACCTGAGGGTTAAGTGGACGCAAATTGTTTACTGGTACCTCTGTTGTTTATCATCGCTCTTTTCCCGTCCGACTTTATTGTTATCTGCATAGCCTTACACAAGCTCGGGACGTTGCTGATCTAAGAAACAATGAGAGCGGCCCACCTTTCATTGATTAAATGTTGACTGTCTCTGCCTCTGTGTATCTTAGCAACGGTGCAGAGAGATGCAGGAAGAAGATAAAGCTGTTTTATTCCTGTTGTGTCTGTTTCCTAGGGCAGCAAAGGGGAGCAGGGCGAGATCGGTCTTCCTGGACAGAGAGGCCTGCCTGGCCTTCCAGGAGCTAGTGTAGGAAACATCACTTCACCCTCTGACACATACTCTTTTCTAATATCTGCCAGTGCTATCTGTGTGTGTAACTGTATGTTTGTTGTCTGCAGGGTCCTTCTGGCCCGATGGGTCCCAGAGGGCCTGTAGGGGAGAGAGTAAGTAGATCACTCCAGTATTATTTACTTATAGGAAATGTGAAATTTTACAAACACAGACAGTGTGACTGATGCTTTACCTCCTAACTGCAGGGACTTCCTGGCTTTCCTGGACCTGCAGGTCCTCCTGTAAGTGGAAAATGTTTTTTTATTAAAGCAATATGCATGTAGATGACACTGTATGTAGCTATAAAGAAACATCCAGTGATAATCTGTGTCCTCTGTCTCTTGTTTCACAGGGCCCAGCAAGCGAAGGACCTCCTGTATGTGCTCGCGACATCTGCTGTTTTATTCTGAGACACTGCTGAAATGCTCATACATGGCTTACAAGTGAAGGTGCTGCTGTGTGTCTGTGTCTGACAGGGACCACCAGGGAAACCAGGTATCCCAGGAGACGAAGGAAATATCGGGCCTGAGGTCAGACAAACAAACAATGCAACAAAAAACAATACATTAATATACAGTACAAGCTAGGGCTGGGCCAAATGAAGACAATCAAATATTACAATATTTTTGACCAAAAAACACACAATGAGATTTTTCATAAATAGTAATCAGTAATGTGAAACAAAGACAAAGTGTGTAAGGCAAATAAAAGAACAGTCTAGGAAAATTACTTTAGGGTAATGCAGCCTTTAAACCCAGAAAAAGACAACACATATTTCAATCAGGAGAGACAGAATGAAAAATGTGAAAAGTCTTTGGCGATTAGACCCCGTAGAGATGGTGTGCTTTAAGGAGGGTGATGAAATCATAGTCGAATAGGGAACAGCCCCATTAATCATCTCACGACTCCTCAGATTTATCTTGTGACCCTTCAGAAGGGGCACCAGCCCTGGGTTGGCAACCACTGGACTAAAATACCTAACTGTATATAAAGGAGTTAAAACTAACCTTGACTGACTTCAACAGTAAAGTGCTGCCTCTAAACTGATGCATCAGTATTGACAAGCTGATCATGTCATGTATAACTGAAAGGGCACTCTGAGAGCGCAGACCTCCACCAAGTCAATAATCCAGTCTTCTATGATCCGCAAATGTGCAAGCACAGCCACCAAAGGGGGGAATAAGTCACACATGTGCAAATCACAAGCAAGTCTCAAGTCCTTACTTTCAAATCACAAGCAAGTCTCAAGCCCTTACCTTCAAATCACAAGCAAGTCTCAAGTCCTTACCTTCAAATCTCCACGAAGAACCAAGTTCCTGTGGTGAGAATCAGGCGATCAGCCAACTCAAGTCCCTGCTGTAAATCAAGCAAGACAAGTCACGTCAATGCTCAGGTCAAACAAGTCACCAATGAAGTCGTGACATTCTAATGATGTACGTCAGTTTCCTCATTTAAATCACTTGAAAGACAGTGGTTATGACTAAAACTCTTGCAGGCTGTTAACATTAGCTAGCTAACATTTGACCAGCCAATAAACTAATAAGTTACTTAAAAAGACACATTCACGTACTTTTCTTTGTGGGTATAGTAGTCATGCACAAAATTGATGTTGTTATGGTCATGTCACAGATTTTTGAGCTGCAGACGTTACATGCTGCTGTTCTCTTCTTGCTGCTGTCATCAACAACATAATCTCAGCCCCCTCCATGATGGCTGCCCGGCGTTGGCCTCTGCTGTTTTGCAATATCCTAGCAGGTTGCCAGGTTTGCGTGCATTGTACTAGAAATCATCAACTCAATATTTAGTAAAAATGCAAATATTATCTAAAATAAGATCAAGTCTGTTCAAGTTATCTGTCTCAAGTCGAAGGCAAGTCTAAGGTCATGATTACCAAGTCAAAGTCAAGTTGAGTTTTTATCACTCTAATTCAAGCAAGTATCTGACTTGAACTGACTTGTGCATATCCACCCTGTGATTTGGATCTCCTCCAAAACTTAATAGGTTCTTCTTTGACCCATGCCGCACCCCTCCACCAAGTTTCATGAAACGTGTGCCATTATTTTTAGTTTGATACTTTGAAGATTTTGATCGTATACAGAATGCTTGTCTGTGAGTGTTTGATGTGAAATGTAATGATAATATTTCCTGTACCTGCAGGGTCCACCTGGACCCAGAGGGACTGCTGGTATTGCAGGGCCTCCTGGGCCTCCTGGTCCACCAGGGCCTGTGGTAAGGACCAGAACTAACCCTTGTTTTACTGACATCTACTTTAGCTGTTAGTTTTTCTTGGTTTTCTTTGTTTTTATTTAAGTCTCCCATATTTGAGAGCCTATATGCAGATACCGATGATTAGGATTACATGCCGCAATTGTAATACTGTAACCAGGCATGTTTTATCAGGAAAAAGGGATGCTACTGCATGCATCCTCATGTGGAGAATCATCAGAGACTGTTCACACACCTAGACCATGTAGATGTGGTCAAATCTGAAATAATTTTGTGTACAACTGATTTCATTTTGCCAAAGTTGATAAAACTGAATGATCAGTATCTGCATGTCTTTTAATTAAAGCTCAATATCAGTCGTGTTGACCACCTGCTGGACAGGTGTAACCCCATACTAATATCATCATCTCTATTCGTGCATTCCTACGTTTCTTCTTGAGCTCATATTTCATTGTGAAATCGTGAGTGTATGGTGGTGTTGCACGCTGCAGTCTCTTTTCACATTACCTCTCTGGGAATTTCTGCTGGTGGATTTATGTGGACATCTAAACCCCTGCGGCTCTTTTAGATGTCACTCTGCTGTGTTTTAGGGACCGCCTGGTGCCAGCAATGAGGGAAGCGGGGAAGCTGTGAGTCTTTTACTGTCTTTCTCGCTGCCAAATGTTTCCTGGATGCATGGCAATTGGACTGGTGACAGTGAATTTGTGATCAAACAGAGTCATTGAAGTTAAGAGGCTCTGCAGCAGCCATGCTTATTTAGTATCTGACTGTCTTTTTGGTCTGTCACATCTCTCATTCGTAGTGTCCTGCTGCCTGCCCTGCTGGACCACAGGGACTGGCTGGGCTGCCAGGGATGAAGGTGAGGGATGTCAATGTCAACTCAAAAAAGCCACATATTCTGAATACTTTAGACTGAGTTGTTATTTAGTTATGAGTGAGTTGGTTGAAAGATTTAGCTGTGAGTCACTTAAATCAAAATGAATTTATGAATAAGCCCTATTGATTGCAAAATGCAGACTTCAAAAAATCTTGGGGTCTTGTTCATGAGTGAAGGTAGAATAGAGCTTGAGATGGATTGGCGATTGCAGTGATGCAGCCGCTGCACCAGACCATCATATTGAAGATATACCAGTCCACCTACGTCCCAACCCTCACCTATGATCATGTTCTGGGTAGTAACCCAAAGAATGAGACTGCGGATACAAGCGGGATGAGCCTAAGAGATAGGGTAAGGAGCTAAGACATTTGGGGGGAGCTTGGAGTAGAGCCGCTGCTCCTTTGTGTCAAAGGGATCAGTTGAGGTGGTTCGGGCATCTGATCAGGATCCTCCTGGGCGCCTTCTGTTAGAGGTGTTCTGGGCACATCCCAGTGGTAGGAGGCCCCGGGGCAGACCCAGGACATGGTGGAGGGATTACACATCTCATCTGGGAACACCTTGGGGTCCCCCAGGAGGAGCTGGGGAGAGGGACGTCTGAGGTGCTTTGCTTGGCCTGGTGCTCCTGCGACCCGGCCCCGGGTCAAAACACGGCTGTGCCCAAGTACAGCCTCACAGAAGTATCTGTGTGGCTGTTTTAGTCTAGTTACAGATTAGGAAATATACCAAAAAATATTGTGGAGAATGTACTTGAGAAATGTACATCAACTTGAGTAGTCGGGGACACAGTTAGACCTTTCAATTCAAAATGAAAATTAATGAAATTTGGTGGTAATACAAAATTGTTAAAACAACTGGTTGTTGCCTTCAGGGACACGCAGGTTTGCCTGGTGAGCCTGGAAAAGATGGAATACCTGGAGACAAGGTATGTTAAACAATGTTTCTTCTCAATATCCGTCTTTTATTTTGACACTCGACAAAACAAGGTTCATCTGCACCGAGTGAATTCCCATTTCCAGTTACAGGAAAGAGATTGATAGCAAGAACAACCCACACATACGTGATTTGATTGCAGCCTACAAACAGCTTAATATGATTATCTCTGTTCTCACAATTTAATTAGTTTGCTCTTGTTTCCACAGGGAGAAACCGGAGAGCAAGGTCTTCAGGGGCCACCAGGTCGCATGGGAGAAGATGTAAGGGCACTTATTCCTTTAGTCACAGAGTGATATTACAGAACAATATGAGTCTCTATGAGCCTGTTTACACCTTGAATTAACATGCGTCTCAGTGATTCGAACACAAGTGGATAGCCGAGACACATCAGTTCACAGTTGTGTATCATGCGTCTCCAGCTGACCACTTGTGTTCAGATGTAATTACTGTCTACGTCACTTACTCTGGAGGGTCAAAGGGCCTCATGCACAGATATTGCTCCCACATACTCATTAGCAGCTCACTAGCATACTTGTTAGCTACGTTAGCAGTAGTATTGGCTGGAGGTGGTTGTAGGGTGGCAGTGGCTGAAGAAGCAGAGTGGGACCTCCACCTTTTGGAAGATTGGCGGTTCGATGCCCAGCTCCTCCAGTCCTGTATCACAGCCTCAGTCGCCAGTGTGTGAGTGCGAAAGCACCTTGAGAGGTCAGTAGATGAGAGAGGCAACACGACTCCTCCCATGGGGCAAAACATACTGCAACAGTTTGTCCAACTCATGGTAACATGGGCATGGTGATTGTTTTCAGTTACAAGTTCTAGCTTTAGCTTGCTAGTCACATTAGCAGTTGTGTTGGTACGACTGGAGATATCGCTATCAGCAGAATTAAACATGTCTCCTTCCATAGAGCTTAACGACAGACGGATACAGAGCACTTCACCGAATTTATTGTAAAATGGGCAAGTTATAGTGTTAGCATGCTCACACCAAAAACATCACCAGATCCTGCACTGCAAAGGATATACATATACATATACATATGTGTTCTAGACCAGTGGTTCCCAACTGGTGGGTTGCAGTCAAAAAGTGGGTTGCAGAGCCATTCTGACTGGACCGCAAGTGACTCGTAAACAGGTCAAGTTTGTCCAAAACACACTTTATTTTCAAGTACAGTGAATTTCTGGCACAGAGGGGTTTTTTTGTGACAGACAGAGACAGTGAACTAGCTCGACAATATGTAAAATGAATTAGTGTATTAAAGTGTGTAGACCTTGAACTAATGACTAAGCAGAAATCTGGACCTTGTGGCTGGACCGGTTGGGAAACACTGTTCTAGACCACCTTTGCAAGTGGTTTTTGTGATCAGATCACAATGTGTCTTAGTGGTCGTTTTCACTTGTATTTAGATCCGTCCAGTTGTGAACGGATCACCCAAGACCCATGTTAACACTAGGTATAAACAGGGCCTATGAGAGGAAGTGATGTATATTTTAAAGATATGCTATTCTGTCATTTTAGGGGCAAAGAGGGCCCATTGGATTCCCTGGAACTCCAGGAGAAAAGGGAGACAGAGTGAGTTAAATCAAAGTTTTAAATCAAATTTTTTGACATTTTTTCTATTAAGAGCTGCTCATAAAAACAAAGATTTAAAAATATTGGCATGCGATGGTGATATAACCACCTTTAGCATTACATTTGCAGATAACAATGGTCTATGTTCACAGGGCTCTCCTGGTTTCAATGGCGTGCCAGGACCTACCGGCCCACCTGGAGCTCCTGTGAGCAGTCTTAGTTTGATCAGTTCTATGTCCTCTACTCTTAGAGAAGTATGTCATTAAAAAATGTCTCTCACATGTGCCTCTGACTGAATCTCTTCTCTCAGGGCGTAGAGGGTATCCGTGGACGTCAGGGTTTGGACGGAGCCAAGGGCGATGATGTGAGTTTTATCATTGTGGATTACATTGCAAAATATTATCTGAGAGACTGCTACAATTAAAAAAGACTTTGATTTTGATCAGGGAGCAGTGGGACCTCAAGGAGAGCGGGGTCCTGCAGGGGAAAAAGGAGACGTTGTAAGTACGCTGATGGGATCAGACGACCTCATTCGTTCTTGAGCATTTAGCGTTGCTTAGAGTGTGAATGGGATCTAACTGTGTGATGGGATGTTGCAGGGAGAGCCTGGGAAAGATGGAGTGAATGGACTTCCTGGAGCTGATGGAGCCAAGGTGACGTCAACAGCACATATTTTTTTTTGCTCCTGCATTTAATGTCTTTAATTAGTTTTACCACATACTGGGCCTTTCTCAAACCCCCCCCCCACACCCTCTCCTTACCCACTTCCACTCTGTCCGCCACATTGTGTGCCATCCCAAACCAACTAGTGAGGCTGATTTACTGACCATGTGCAACAACGTATTGTGTTCGTCATGGAAGACACTCCGTACATGTGAATAGCATAAAACAGGAGAAAGAGTTGCAACAGTTCCTCTTTCCGCTGCAGAGAGGGAAGTTTGACTCAAAACTTGCTGCTGTGTTTATCCCCTGACACCTTGATGAAGGGTGCTTCATTCAGCTGTGAAGGTGACTACAAACAGAGTTACACTCCAGGACAGAGTGGAAGTGGGTAGGATCCGGTTTGGAAAGGCCCATTGATTTTTCCTTCAAGATTTTTTCACTTCTCAGGGTGTAAAGTCCCTGTGTTCAGACCATCATGTTATGCTCAAACTCCCTGAGTGCACTTAACTGCAGCCTAATGTTTGAACGTTACTAGTCTTTTCTGTCAGGCATGTACTGCATTGTATCAGCAATGGCCAACAAGCAAAATATGCATATGGACTAATATACTTATTTGTATGAACTCAACAGGGAGAGGCTGGTACACCTGGAGGTATTGGTGTCAGAGGGATTGTGGGTATTCCAGTAAGTCCAATTTTATTTCTATTTATTGTGTCTCTATATCTTAAATAGCCCATTACACTTTACAGTCATTGTCAGTTACATCTTATTTGTAGAAAAGATTTGTAAGTCAAAGTAAGGGATGCTAAGGAGGAGAGGCTCCCCTCTGAAGCCACAGAGCAGGTCAGATCAATAAAACATTAAAGTCACACAACCAGCTGGAAAGAAAATCTAATGCCAAGACAGCGTCTACCTTTGCCTGTGAGTGTATCAGGTGAGAGGCCACAGATATGACTTGAATGGTAAAACTTTGTCTACAAAGAGCACTGTAGAAACAGAACAGTATGTTGTCTTTCTTTATCTTCAGAAAGAAGCTGTGCATGAAGAAACAGACATTAAACCACTGCACTTACTTTAGTAGTGGTTTGTGTGCTGCCTTTGTAGCCACACTGGTGGAGTGTAAAGGTTGAACTATGAGTCAGTTATCGGGTCCACCAGTTTTAAACATCTCAACAGCTATTAAAAGAATCGACATGGACTTTATACAGGCATTCATACCTCCCCAGAAAAGAATCTTAATCACTTTAATAATGACTTTTCCTCTTTACGCCATCAGCAGTTTGGCTGTTGTTGCTTTTGGTGTAATATCTCAATGCTAAACTAAGATGGTGAACATGCTAAACATCACACTAGCCTAAAGGAATACCTCACTCTTCAAAATGTCCATTTGTATATGAATTACTCACCGCGTTACCTTGAATTTGTAAGGAAAAGCTTCCTTTGTCTTGCCTGCCTCCACGGTGAACGAAGAATCCAAAAAAGGCGAATACTCTTTATGAATTAAAGTAAATGGGAGCACGTTTAACAACAGCAAAACTATATCTTGAAAACAAAAAAACAATATCTATACTACACAAACACTATTACTTTCAACACGTGGTGAATAACTGCTATACAAATTGTCCTTTGTGAGTGAAGCCTTCCTTTAAAATCAGCATGTTAGCATGCTATTAGCATTTAGCTCAAAGCATCACTGTGGCTAATGCTATGTGGCCTGTGACCACAGAGTTGGTTGTGTGAGCATTAAGATACTGTGTACTGACAATGTGACACCATATGCATTCAGTTTGGGTTTAATTACATTTAACATTTAACAGTCTTTTGCTGATGTGAGGCGTCCATATTTGTTTTGTTTGCAGGCATTTCTGTATTATTAAGTGTCAAGTCGGACATCTTAAAGCTTTCAGACACATCTGACAGCTATAAGTTGATGTGAATGCTATTTACAGTACAAGTAGGAAACTTATAATTAGCCCACGATATCTCTCATATGAGATAAACACAGCATAAAAGCATGGCAGAGCCACAAGTGTGGCTGTAGACTACTTGTCTTGTTTAAAAGATTGAAACATGTTATATATTCTTGAAAAAACCTCAGTGACCCTCTTCTTTTTAATAAAACAATATAAATTCTTCAGTTACACATTCTCTGTTTATTTTTTTCATCTGATGTGTTATTGCTTCTAGGGGCTGCCAGGGAAGCAGGGAGTAGTTGGACCCGCTGGTGCAAAGGTAATTAGAATCATCACCAATTTAATGAAGCATATCCACATAGCGCATCCAAAATGTTGTATTTCAGCACCATCAGGCTTTAACAGAACTCACACAGACTGTGCTGATAAAAATTTGAAGACTAACACACTTCCTGTTGCGGGTTTAGGGAGATACTGGTGCTGAGGGACCCATCGGGCCGGTTGGACTTCCTGGAAAGACTGTGAGATTCTCCCATCAAGCCTCCCGTCACACTTTCATTGTATTTATTTTGATATATGTGCTGCAAAGCCAACGTCTGTTTTTTTTTTATACAGGGCGAGTCTGGAAAAGATGGAGAGGATGGGAAACCAGGAGATAAAGGAGCAACTGTGAGTTTACATCTATTTTTCAGTTGTGTGTGTGGGTGATTTTAAGGTTTCAGTTCTAGTGATTATTGTGTTTAATGGATTGCAGGTACATCAGTATCACTGAGTGAATGTGTTAACTGTATCTGTAATCAATTTACAGGGTGAAACAGGAAAACAAGGGCCAGTTGGGCCTGCAGGTCCTCCAGGCATCCAGGTGAGACATTATTAATAGTCTTATCGACAGCCCCTCTGAGCTTTTAGAGATGGGCTGAATAAATGTATAATTTTGTCTCGGCTTGTGAACTAATAGTATAAAGACGCTGGTATCACATGGTATCTTGCGGTCATCAGCAATGACAAATCTTACAGTCTTACTAGTTGCTAGTTAGTGTTGGTAAAAAAAAAAGAAAGAAAGAAAGAAAAATGGCTGAGTTTGACAGTAAGCACCCAGCTTCACTCCAGTACCAATCGGCAACAATAAAGTAGTAAGACTCGGATGAACTTTGGTCCAGCTTTTGCTCATTGAGTCGGGCTGAAAAATCACACCAAGATGGACACTTTTTTCTTGACTGGTAAGCTAAAGTTAAGGTTTGCTAAGGTTTTTAGCTGAGGTCCAGCTACCAGACTGGTCTGACTCATATAAATCAGCAAACTTTCTGTTGCTGCCTTAACACAACCGTTATCTTCACAAATATCAGAGGTGAAAAAAGAAAAGGATTGGACCCTACTGATATAAAATAGCATTTTCTCTGCTTTCTGGCAGTTTAAATCAGTGACCTTTCTCTCTTCCAAGTATTATGAGACTTTAAATCAATAAGGGTGGAACTTTTTTGTCACTGCACGCTGTTGCGTTAAGCTAGCTAGCTATATCGTTAGATTACCATAAATCATTGGTTCCCAACCTAAAGTAGGCAGTTACTGCTAAATACACAGTTCAAACAACCAAAGAGCTTGTAGAACATCAGCCAAGCTAGGGAGGAGAAGATACTGAATTTGTTTAAAAAAAACAACAATTCCTTGCATGAAAAATAGTGGAGAAAAAAAAGATAATAAAAACTCATCTTTGATGCAATGTTCCCAGGAAATAATCTACTCAAAATGCAGTTCTTGTAATAACTATTTGCATTAATTGTACTGTTAATCAGTTGTTCTGTGCTGTTATGCATTTAATATAATGTGAAAAATCAATAAAATATGTCACGTAGTCAAGAATGGTTTGTTTACTCAATGATGGAGAAGGAGTTCCTTCAGGAAAAAGGTCAGGAACCACCACCATAGATCACAGTATGTTACATGAATCTTGAAACACCATCACACAAAGTAACCTAAATCTATTGCAAAATGAATTCATTACCCTCCCATGAAAGATTCATCAGTTGCCAATACTGAGTCTGTCTGAGGATCACTCCACCCGACCATGAAATATGCAGGATGTGCAACAAACTGGGAACCACTCGTGCTTCAAGCAACAGCGGTGTGGTGACTTGAATGCAATGGAAAGGAGGGAGCCCCTCAGGAAGTGCACTGGGCACTGGAGCTAAAAAAACTGGAACTCACAACTTCGGAGTCTGTCATGTGATGCCATTGAGCCCAGAGAGACTTTTTTATAGACTTACTTTGGGACAGGGATGTCTGTAAATCAAATTATTGTTTTACTCGAAGAATTTGATCAATTAACTCCAATAACATTTGGAAAGTCCGGAAGAGCAGGACAATTAAATCATTTTAGAGGAACACTAAACCGGAAGTTGATGACTTGACCGGTGGAAGACTAGTGCGCTTGCTTCATTGGTTCCATTTCAACAATGCTAATGCAGCACCACACACATTTTAAGCTTCATGTGCCACTGAGCACTGGGCTCCATCTCCAACGCTGTATCCAGTTCTCTGTATACATGAAGGGCGACGTGTATTGGCAAATACAATACAGATATCAATAGCACCTTTAGCATAAGGTTCCATATACTGATATTTTGATAATGAATTCAAAAGAAACCATAGTTTAGAGCGCATCTAATATTAGCCCATGTGCTTTAGCTACAGAGCACCATTCATAAAACCAAGATATAACAACACCCTTACCAAGACTGAAAAAATATGACATGTAGAATATAAAATCTTGTATTTCCAGGGTGACAAAGGAGACAGAGGTAGCACTGGTGCCAAAGGACTGAAGGGTCACACTGGACACAAAGGTGATCAGGTTAGACGAATCTCATCTTACCATTTTCAAACATCCATAATGATTTCAAACTTAAGGTGTAGTGAAGTACTTAAAATATTGTTTTCTATATGTCATCTAGGGGCCTATGGGACCAATGGGACCTAAAGGAAGTCAGGTGAGAACTATTATAATCTCTGTATTTGTTTCAAACATGTCTGTGAATGATCTTCTGTGGCGATGTCACTGGTCCAGCAGCTACAGATTCACCATGTTACTTTTGTGTACAGGGGGACACGGGTATGGCAGGAGATCCTGGAGTCAAAGGAGACCAGGTATGTGGAGCGTACTGTAGTGTTATGTAATAACTTGCGTGTATTGAGACTGCAGCAATGTGTGTGTGGATTTGAAAGAAGTCAGTTGATCTCTGTGTGTTTTCAGGGCCCTCCTGGTGTTACTGGAATCAAAGGAGAGGTATTAAAAACTACAGTCTGCACTGCAGCTGACACTTTTCACACTGTCTCTGATACCTAATGATCTTTTTATACAGAAATGAATAGTTCCCACAATGTGCTCTGACATCTGATTTTACCAGTGAATTGCTTGTGAACAAAACATTGTAAAGTAGTTAAACTAAGATGTAGCAGTTAAAAAATCAATGGACATAATGTAGTTTGCTGTTGCTAATGTCAGAATGGGATGGTCAAGAAGGTTTTTTTTATCTTAAGCGAGGAGAGAAGGGCCAAAGAGGAGCTACAGGAGATGAGGGCAGACCAGGCCAGCCGGGCCATGAGGGTTTGGCCGGTCCGATCGGAGCAAGAGGGCTGGAGGGAGAACCAGGCGTTCCTGGACCACCAGGTCCCAGAGGTCAACCTGTAAGTGTTACTGTTGCCAATATACAGGATGTAAATGCTACTTACAATACTTTGGTTTATGACCAAATACCTTCAAAACTAGTGACATTTCCGTCAGCCCCACATGTACTTTGTGGTAATTAGCAAATGTTAGCATGCTAACAGGCTAAACTAAGATGGCGAGCATGGTAAATACTACACCCGCATGGCGAAACAGTTAAATAAAAAATACATTTTCCGAGTTCTAATCTTGTGTCCCCATGTTCCTCCTCCTGCAAATATATTTTTGATGACTTGTCTTGAACTCAGGGGAGATGGTGTACATTTTTCCAAACAAATGTGTTTTGGGGTGACCGGCTAACTCCGCCCATTATACTGTATATAACCACACTTAAAGGAATACTTCATCCCCCCAATATGACCATTTGCAGGTCAATTACTCACCCCATGTTATAGTGGATTCCTGAAAGAAATATTTTCCTCTAATTGCTTCAGTAAACGAAGAATCCAGAAACAGAGCAAATTCTTGATTTAAGTCACAGGGGCTAGCATGTAACAACACCAAAATTTAATCTAAACATCACTTTACAAAGTCTCACACAACTTGTGCAGGGCAGTCCAAGTCTTATTTATCCAGCTGTGTGCTCAATACTTCCCAAACAGACAAACCTTTCCAACAGGGAAAAAAAGTCACCAAAAAGTAAATCTTATCAATGCTCTCTTCAGTGCCAGACTTCATTGACACTAACAATCATTTTACCTCGCTGAACACAGGAGCTGCTGGTCCACCACTGCCTTAATCAGTTAGTTTGTCTATGCTATTGTGTGACTCAGGGAAATCTGAGCTAACACTTTAAAAGACCAAAGTCAAACAATAACACAAGCTAACCACCAGCTCCCGTCTTCAGAGAGGTAAAATTACTGTTTTTGTGAGTAGAGTCTGGCTATGACAAGTGGAAAGATAAGTTTCACTTTCAGTTTTGTTCCCAGCGTGTGTGATAAGTACTGAACATTGATAAATAAATACAAGTTGGATCGTATGGCACTAGCTGTGCTGAGTTTCTAAACGGTTGTTTTGATATAGTTGAGCTGTTGTTAAACGTGGACCCCATTTACCTCAATTCACCATGAATTTAGTCTGTATTTGGATTCTTTGTTCACCATGGAGGCATCAGAGGAAAAGCAAGTTTTCTTCACAAATTCAACATAACACGGGATGATTAGTTTATATAAAAATGGTCATTAGGGTGAAGTATTCCTTTAAACATTGGTATAGTGACAGAGTAATGTCATATTAGAAGTTGTGTGTTTAGATTTTAGTAAACTTATGGTGTGTCTCAAATCGCGTACTTCCGTTAGTACACTTCCATGTAGTACACTATGTGCACTATGTACTCATTGGCGTAGTGAGCGAATTTCAGCAGGGTAGTGTTGTCTCAAACCAAACACAGCTGTTGTGCACTCACCAGAAATGATGGCCGCAAATTAGCTAGTTAGCAAACTAGCATTAGCATTCGCATTATTGTTTGCAGTACCAAATCATTACAGACTGCTAAATTAACCCAATAGACATACTGCTGGCTTATACCCGACAACAGTATAGAAGGGCTTAGTGCAAAAAACACATGTATTTGTACAATGCAGCAACGTTCACAGTCGCACAGTCCTCGGCCGCTATTTCCAGTTTGAAAAGTGGTCCCTCCCCTTCTGCTACGTAGCCTAGAAGGTGACCATTGAGGGCAAGAAGTGTCCATAGTTCCACACTAAACTTCTTGACAGTTTTGAGTGCACCATCCGGGTACTCATAGTGCACTGCATTTTCCATACTTCTCAGTGTGAGCGCACTTATGCACTCAAAATATTAAGTGTAAGTACAGAAGTACGTGATTTGAGACACAGCATTAGACTTAAGTAAACTCCAAAGAATGTGGTTTAAGCCATGAGCATGGCTGTAAACTTGTGGTATTGTGACTGTAAAGCAGTGTTTTCCAACACCCCAATGGATTTTTTTCATGTCTTGCTTTTAAACCACCATGGTTCTGTGTGTGTGTTCTTTTGTTGTTGCAACAACCCGCAGTGACTGTGCAGTGTTAATGTTTATTCATTCACAGGGCCCGAAAGTGACTGATGAGAAGCTTCGGGAAATGTGCTCAGCCGTTGTTGAAGGTGCAGCTTGTTCACTTTTATACATCACATCCATATCTATTTAAAGGGGCAATAAGTGAAATTGTTTCACCGCTAGGTTTGCTGTTGTGCACTGCCCGTAGAGCAAAACAAAGTGTGTCATGAGCCACCCCTCCCTCTACCTCTGCTCTCCAACACCCCCAACCCCACTCACCTCGTATGTGCCGGCGAGTACCACAGCATCTCCACGGACTATCACATCCAGACAGTCCCGGTGTTTCTTCCGCAGGCTCTGCTTCACTCAGCTTCACTCAGCTTCACTCAGCTGCCCGATATACCCGCTGCTTCTTCCCACATTATCCTGAATAACAAACCAGGGCTCGGTGCTAAGGTTGGATCCAAACGGAGAGCCGGGGCTAACGTTAGCTGGGAAGCTAGCGGAGGCTAACTGGCTGTGCTGGCAGCTGAGTGAAGTGGAGCCTGAGGAGGAAGCACCGGTTAGCCCCAGTTTCATTACAGGCAGATTCACTCGCCACAGGGGTGAGGAAATAAAACCTAAACAGCCAACTTAGTTTGGCTTAGTTTAGCAGTTAGCGATGTCTTTCACTCACTCTCGGTCTCTGCTGTGTTTAGCTACTTCCCTGCTTTCCTGTTAGCGTTAGCACTACTTGGCTGCCACGCTAACGCTCAAACTCCAACTGAGCCGGAAGCCGGGCTCACGGTCTCACGGAGAAGAGTTGGAACGTTAGCATGGCAGCCCATTAGTGCTAACGTCCCCACGCTTCTCCGCCAGGCTCAGTGAGTCGGAGCTGAGAAGAGTGGGGACGTTGTCGGCTGCCATGCTAACGTTCCGGGAGCCTGCTTCTCGGCTCCGGCGAGCTCTAGCATGGGAACGTTAGCGTTAGCACTAGTCGGCTTCCATGCTAACGTTCCGGGAGCCTGCTTAAGCGTGGGGACGTTAGCGTTAGCACTAGTCAGCTGCCATGCTAACATTCCAACTCTTCTCCGTGAGACCATGAGCCTGGCGGGCTCACAGGCTCCCGGCTCACGGAGAAGAGTTGGAATGTTAGCGTTAGCTCCCAGAGTTAGCACTAGAGCTACTACAGCTACTGGAGTAGCTTGCAGCTATGGAGCGCTTCTACCAGCTCTTCCAGTCACTGAGCCTCGCCTCCATTTCAGCAAATATATTACATTTATTACAGGGACCATCATCATTGAAGTAGGCAGGGGAATAGCTAAACACAGCCCGCCAGGCTACATTTTACAATGCTAATTGCAAATGTTAGCTGGGCTGTCGGGCTACTCACCTAACCGTAACGCCTGACCCATTGCTGGGACAGAGCTGCTAATAACTCAAGCTCCGGACATTAACCCATGCTACGATTGTAACATTGTAAACAATGGGCTGGAGATCAACACAGAGAGAGGGTGTGTGAGGTCATGCTATACTCCAGATGAAATTACACCTCTAGTTCTTCACATCGCAATTTTTTAATTCCTTCAATCTAGAAATGATGAATTTGCTTATTGCTCCTTTAATCTATGATGAAACTAATCATGGATACTTATATTGTTACATTATTTTCCTGTTTTTAAGCTGATTTAATCTTTTTCTTCATAGAACAATTAGCAGAGTTTATGAAAGAGTTTCTGAAGAGGCCAGCAGCCATCGGTGCCCCTGGTACTCCTGGACCGGCGGGACCTCCCGGCGCCCCTGGACCAGCTGGAGTGGCAGGAGCAGCAGGGGCTCCGGGGCCGGCGGGTCCCAAAGGTCATCCAGGCTTCTTTGGACTTCCAGGCGCACCAGGCATGAAAGGTCAGTGAGCCTTTTTAAATCCATTCTCCACTATTCAATACTGAACCCCTACAAAGCCAGCCCTCAGATAACCAGAGCTGCTGCATTCAGCAATCTTTAGCAAAGCTTTAAGTGGTTCGCTAATGCTGCATGTGTTTCACCAGCACTGTGATAGATAGGCCGTGCTGCTGTGATAGCTTTTTGCTCTTCCTTTGTTTTCCTTGAGAGCATCCAGAGCTCATACAGTGAACGTGGTGGCAAGAAATTAATTGAAGCCTTTAGAGAAAACAAGACAGTCTGAGTTTGTCTTCACACTGCCACGGCACACTGAAAGAAGTCACGCAGAGCGCTCTGCGGATGGAAGAGATTCACCCGTGCATAACATTGTACAATCAATGAGTCACCAAACAAGGAATCAGAGTGGAGTCATTAAGTTTCCTAATTACATGCCGGTTACTGTGAAAACAATATGCCTCTCCATTTCATCTCAGCATTAATTTGTGTGTCCTCTACGTGCTCTTCTGCTCTGCAGGTGATGCCGGGGAAAAAGGAGCAAAGGGAGACAAGGGAGAGGACGGTGTAGGAATCAAAGGAAGCCCAGGCGCACCAGGTGCAGCAGGTAAGGCTGTGTGCTTGTCATAATTGGAGCACATCGCTGCTGAGAATGTTCCCTTTTAGTAACAACTGGGCATTGAATTTAAACTCTCCCCACTTTTTTTTATTTTATTTAATAAAATATATTTTTGGACGTAATTGTTCAATCCAGCAGCCTCAAGCTCTCGATGGACATTTCCACGGCATTTGAAGCATTTTAAATACTGCACTGATGTCTGGTTTCTAGCAGTTGTCCTCTCCGCTGCCTTTGCTGTTGCATTATTGCACTTGTTGGCATTTTACAGACACCTGTGGATCAGTGGAACAGTGGAAATCCATTTGTAGGATTGTGTATTGCAGCTTCTGTGCACACAGGAATGGGTGTCGTAATGTACATGCAGGAGACAAGCAAAACAAACAAAAAAAAAAACGGCTCTATAGTGCAACTAGATGTTTGTGGTCAAAAACTACACGGGGTAGCTGGCCTTTAACTGCTGTGGTACACTAGTGATTGGAACACATTAAAGCCCCGATACACAGCATTTTTCGAGGTCTAACAAGGCCACATACTATGTGTATCATAGTGTTTAACCTTGTACACATTCTCAGAACCCATCGGCTGTATTTGGCGTCTGACTTCCGGCAGATGGCGATACAGCCTCTGGGGGCAGACCCCCGATTTTTTGGCATTCCGGTTTGATTTGGGCGGAGGAGGAGAATTTCCGTGTCCGACTTCCGTTTATATATAAGTAAATATGCTGAACCAATGCGATGGATTCAGAGTTTGCAGTGACGCCAATTATGTTCCGCCTCGTTAGTTCACCACACGGACCGTTTAACCTGGCAACAACTGCAGCCAGCTCAAACGTGATTGGTCAATATCAAGTGGACTACAAACAGCCTACAACCGGACACCAGGGCTCTTCCGCTCTTCTTCCGGAGGCAAGATCTCCGGGGTTTGCCTACAGACTCTACATTCACTGAATGTAGAGTCTGTACTGTATATAGAGACTACCTTGTACATAACCAACTCTAAATGTCTTAATGCCACGATGTGTGTCATTTTGGGAGGACTCTTAATGCTTTTAATTTTATAGTCCACTCCAAACATGTAAGCTAGCAAGCAAGGCTAACAAGCTAACATGTGTGGGAAGACCTGAAAAGTGCTAAAACTGATACAGTTACAAAGTTGGAGGAGCTATTTTGAACCTCCTACTGGTTCTGGAAGTAAAAGTCCCATTCATTTTTCCCATAGACAGTGTTATGTAAGTTATGTTTCTACAGCTCGGATCAACATGATATTCTCAGTAGAAAAGATTATCAACAGCTTTAGAAAAGACTCTTTGATAAAAAATTCAAAAGCACAAGTTTGATTATCCAAAATATTCCGGTTAGATGTTTACTACGTCTCCCAAGGTGCGAGTCTGCAAAGGAACAATCCCACAGTGTAACATTTTGGATGGAAGCTAAAGATTGCTTTGTTGGAAAGCCAGATTTTACAGTCTCCAGCCTAAACCAGTTCACTTTAAATTTCCTGGTCACTTCTGGGTAAATTCAGCAACTAGCTTATGGTGCCATCTTTTGTTCCCAACTCCAGCTCCCCACTGTAGCATTTGAATTGTCCACTGCTCTGGTTGGTGCCTCCTTGTGTGCTCCAGTTAAACTGCACAGTCGAAATTACCAAGTTCTCAGTCAGAAATGTCTAACTAATGCACCGTTGAACGCCGTGGGATGTGCCTGTACCCCAGAGGTACCCTCAGTCCAGGATTGGGCCTACTTGGATAGGACTTGACTCTGACTTAGTATGTACAAAGGACTTCTGGGGTTGTCCTGTGGTGTCTGACACCAGGGCGTTGGCGGAGGATCCTTTGAGTCCTGTGGTTTGTGAGGTGGGGTACCAGCACGTCCCACAGATGTTTGATCAGAATGGGATCTGGGGAATTTGGAGGCCAGGTCAATGCGTCAAGAGGTATCCACATGAATGCCAGGACCAAAGGTTTCCCAGAAGAACACTGTATTGCAACAAGTTGTTCAATGTTATTCACTTCAGCAGCCAGTGGTTTTAAAGTTTTGGCTGATCAATGTATTACATACATGTTGCATTTGAACCTCATTTTGACTTATATATCAGGTTTCAAATGGTTTGTATCTCCTCCTCAGGTGCACAAGGTCCTCCCGGCATAGGCAAGGATGGCAAAAATGGGGAACGTGGTGACACAGGAAGTCCTGGTGCCCCAGGAGCAGCTGGTCCAAGGGGACCTTCAGGGCCACCCGGGCTATGCGACCCATCGACCTGTATAGGCAGACTCCCACCTTTCTACATGGTCAGTGGAAAGAAGTCTGCCGGTTACAAAAACCCATGAGACATCACAGCTCATTGACACACCCCAGATCTCATCCTGCAGTGACCACGTTCACGGGCTTCTCAGGAGTCCAGGGCATGGTGACCTTTGGGAGTCCTTAAATGTGTCCATCTGAACCACAGATCTAAGAGACGCGAAGGGAAACAGAGACAAGGCACAATTGTAGAATACTGTATAGATGTTTTAACTTGTATGTGATTTTAGCTTATCTGATGTTCAAAGATAGCTGCTACTGATGCCAAAGCAACTTCTTCCAGCCGACGACAGGCACGCATGCCCTTGAGTTGTCCCACATGAATCCATGCGATTACAACTGCTGATTACAGGTGCTGATCTCCTCTTATGCATGTACTTTATCATTCCTTGAATAAGCTCCCCGAAAAAGATGCTTCTACTCTTTTAGCTCCATAAAACCTACAGCGTAGCAGACGCCATTTTGACCCGCTGATTATCCACTGCAGTCATGAGCCAGATAGAAACACAATCAGTTAAAGGGGGATGTTTTGAGTTTTTGCTTCCGAAACAAAATTACATTAACATTTACAAAAGTCACTACAAGTGCAGACCTGAGCTGACATCTCCAACAATGTGCTTTTTCATTTAGGACCATTTGTTTTTCCTGATTTTGTCATGTTAATGTTTCAAACAATGTAATAAAGTGATATGTTTTGGAAGTGTTGCATATTAAGTTTCCTGTTTAATGAAGCATTAACTCTGTTTTAGAGGAGCTGCAGCCGTTAGTATTAAAATTCAAAGTTATGCAAGTGACAGTGAGTCACATTATTACACAGCACGATAAAGAGAATTAAATAGATTGCTATGCACATGGCAAGGTGGCAGATCAATGAGATTCCACTGCCCCTCTCCAGCAAAATGGCTTTGTAATGAAAACGAGGTCCCTGGGTTGTTATGGATATAATCTGGATTCAGGAGGGCGTTTCACTGTTGCCAGGTTACAAAAGGACAGTCAACATCATCCCTACCTCTGTCTGCACAGCACAAACACACTCACAGATCAAATATGACCTTTACTGAGCTGCTGGAAAGAGTTAGCATAGCAGCCATCCCAAGGACGTCCCTCTGATTTAATAGATCTTATCATGGCTCAGAGCCAGTGGAAGTTGTGTGCATAAGTGAAAGGGGTGCACACGGTTCGTAACATTTGATTCAGCAGGAGAGCGGTGATGGGTTTACATATTCAGCTTACAGATATTAAACATGATGGATTTTAATGTATGAAGAGACAAGCATTGTCTATGGAAAAAACAAAGCAAAGCATGGGTTACAAAATGAATCCTTTCCAGGCTTTATTATACAGTACAGTACATGTGTCTTTCCAATACTTACAATATGATACTAATTTAAATATCTTAGCACCAATTCATCAGAGGGGGGAAAGAAAGGGGGATAACAGGTTAATGAATTTGAGTTCATGTGTTAAAACACATTTGTATTGGTTGAAATCATGAATAATTTAACTTAAAAAGAGTTCAATTAGCAAAAAAGCTAATTTGAAAACTGAACTTTAAGGTGTGCGCAGCAACTTAACATCTGTTGGTAACTGTAACAAGCATTTACAAAACTGAGAAAGGGCAATACTGATATGGTTTGACTGTTCAATAACAAACCACTGACAAAGAAGCAGCTATTAGGTACGTGAAATTGTTTCACACCACTGACAGAGCAGGTCATTTACTCCAAGCACACATTTAGGACCAAATTGATTCCACTGTAAATTTGAACATCATTGCACATAAAACTGCTCTCTACCACTTTGATGAAAGGATGCTGCAGCTACAAACATTTGCCGACGTAGTTTTAGAGATATGCATGTATACTTCTCAAAGGCAGAGCTGCTCTGAAGGCAGAAAAAATCTCATTGGTTGGGTTTTATCTCAGAGGTTCAAGAACATCTACAGTTTTGTTGGCTCAGTAATGTTAGCAGCTAGTTAGCTAGTTAGCCACATGTTGGTATTATTGCAACGTAGTAGGTCTAACTCATGGTTCAGCCTGTTGAATGTTGGACCTCACGTCAAAATTTAGCCTTTCATATGTGCTGTTAGCCAATTTTCTTTCAGAGAATAACATCCCATTGATGTAGTTAAAAGCAAGCCCATTTAACCTGAGATGTGTTTAACAAAAGATAACAAACTGGGCAGGAATGAGCAGAAATGAGTTAGCATTTTAGCACTGCCAGCTCCCTCATCTTGAAGTCAATGGGTTTTTTGAATGGGCTTTTGGTTTGATCCCTGAAACAGAGTGATCGAGGGATGATGTTTTTCTGTAGGCCGACACAGAAGTTAGTGTTGCCCTATTTCCCCCGTCAAACAGCCAGCAGGATTTTTCCACAAGAGTTTGGATCATTGCAGAAAATAAGCTCTGTGGCAAATTAACGTTTATGATACTGACACATTTTCTTCACAATACTCTTCACAAATGAGCAATTGTTGGGCTACAAACCAGCTACACCATGGTCGCATGACTTAGACGTCACCACAACAATGAGGCTGTAAGTGATGACATTCTATAGTCTCATTGAGCCTCTTTTCAGTAACCGCTTTTTTTAAGGCACAGGAAAGCTTCAAAATTCACAAGTGGGGATTTTAAAGATGTATTTTATGTTGTAGAACAAAATGTAGAAGTCTTTTAAGCTTGTGTTAACCACAGGGCTTATGTCAGGCATCTCACCACAAACCCATTGACTTCAAGAGAAGGGAACCAGGAGGGCTAAAATGCTAACTCATGTCTGGGTTTCAGGGCTCATTCCTGCAGCACTCTTTGGTTTTGTTCTGCAACATAAAATACGCCAATAAATACCTCACTTGTGAACTTTGAAGCCTTTAAGTCTCCAAAAAATGGAAGGAAGTGGCTGAAAAGGAACCTGCTATCAAGAGACTACGGAACGTCATCATACCAAACACAGCTTTACAGCCTCGTTGTGCTAACTGTGTTGACGTCATGCGACTCTAGTGAAGTTAGTTTGTAGCCTAACGTTAGCTTTTAACTTTTGCCGATAGCATGTATGTGTCTAAGATCAGGACTATCTTGCTGAACAAAATGTTCGAGTATCATTAACTCGTTTGCCACGGAGCTTATTTTCTGCAATAATCCAAAATCCAATGGAAAAATACCGTTGGCTGTTTGTCAAGCGAACAGGGCGATGCTAACTTCTGTCATCCCTGCAGCACTCTATATTAGCTACCATAAGCTGCTGGTCATACCACACCAAGCGACTGTTTCAACAAACACTCTGAGTGCACCAAATTTAGCAAGGGTGCATTTTATTGCCAATGAATTCAACCTTTCATTTGTAACGTGAAGAAACTGCTATTCCCTCTGTCAAAAATCACTTAGCCCTGCTTTAACACAACAAATGAAACGACTCCTGCCGTCAAAGCAGCTGAGAAACATCTGTCAGACCAAACTAAAACTCCAGTCTGCTTCACCAACGTCTTCAAAACTAAGTTGTGTCAGAGCCACAACTTTACATTCTTCATGAATGACCTTCCATTAAGTAACCTGAGCAAGAGATGATAGGTATGACTGGCCCTTATAGAGATAAACTGACCCACAGGTCATACTGAATGTCTTGGCAAGGTCTTATAAGATTTCTATATTCTCTTCTTGAAAATTGCTCCCCCACTTCCCTTTTGCTCTGGTGTGTATTGATGTGTTTCTTCATGTTTCTGAAAAGAAGACAAATGTGATACTTTCTGTGGAGTCTATTTAATAAGTTCTAGATGACCAGCAGCACGTCTGAGGTTGGGGAGAGGTGTAATTGGTCCATGAGGGACATAAGGCGAAACATCTTTCAAACGGTTACCACAATGGTGTGGTCATCAAGATGCAGGGAAGCGACTCTCCAATTTTAGGTTCCAGGGGACAAATAAGAAAAGCAATGTCTTTTCAGAGCAGGGCTGAGCTGCCCGAGCCCTGCCACAGCGTAGGCACTTAATAAGCCTCACCAAACTGAAAGGAACTGACACATTTGGAAAAGCGGTGCGAAGCAAGCAGCTTTTCAAGAAAGGTGAACAAAGGCTGCAATTATACCACCTCCTCAAAGCTGTTTACTACCGAAGCCTATGCACACATCAAAAAGAGAATGACCAGAGCCACTTCATTAAACTTAAAAGTACAAATCCAACGTGACATTTCTTCCTGTCTCGACTTCTGTCTTTCTAGACTCAGGTTTAATAGGCATCCTGTGGGTGAGCTCGGGACAAATCATTACATGGCAGGTATGAATTATGCATACATGTCATGTTTTTACTATTTTTGGACAGATTTCAGATTCAAATGACATTCATTTCAAAATTAGACACCCACCTTTCAATGATACAAATTCATATAAAGTGATTGATAGTGTGGGTTTTTGTGTTGCATTTATTTTTGCAAATACACTGAATTTTGGAATGAAAGCCTTCACATCTCTCCAAAAGCATTCAACAACATTGCCAAGACTCTAATTTAAGAGTTATGACAGAGAGGTGATATCTGCTGCCTTCAGTTTACTCCCAGAATAAAATCTTGTTTCATTTCTGTTTAAGTAAATCAGACATGTTTACAAATTGAGTGGGGATTTTTTTCTAAAAGTTATTTTTTGGGTGCCAATACTATTCGAAAGAAGCCCACATGAGTACACTGCGACCAGCTTGGAGGCAAGCGGCGCACAAAAGTGGTCATTCATCACTCTCCACACTAACTCATTAACACTCCTCCTACACAAAATAACTATTGGTATCTGAGATTGTGCCTCACACTGTCTGTCCTCCCCCCTTCCCATCAATGACAATAAAACAGATAATTCCCCTGACTGAGTAATTACCAATAGACTCGCAGAGGATCTCGAGCAAGAGATCAATTTAGTGAGCAGTAACTGACATCTATTGCTTGGTAGGACAGTGTGAGCTGCAATTGTAATTGATGCAAAATGGTGTGAGGCAGGAAACAAAAAAAAAGTGGTGCAGACATATTCCTGCGAGAAAACGCCTAGCCGAACTTTTGAGATAATTACTGATGAAATGATACGATATCAGACTCCCAAATCTTCCCTCCCGATGGGGGGTTTAAGAGGAGGGAATTGCATCATCCTTGTTATCTCCCTATATATTTTACAGGAAGCATGCGAGTGAGGAAAAAAAAAACTGTTTAGCTGCCCTCTTTACCCCATATTTATTCTGGAAAAAAAAGTCCCTCGATGCTTCATCCCCATCAGTCCCAAGCTTCTTACCAAAAACAAACAAAACAAAGAATCTGACCGGCAGCACATTTTGCTTCAGCCCTCCATACTGAGGTTATCTTGAAAAAGAAAAGTTCTTGATTCAGACCAAGTTCATAAATACAGCTGGACTTCAAGCTCTTTGTGCCTCGTCGTTCTTAAGTCCCCTTGACATTTTTGGTGTGGGGTCTGTGTGCCAGGCTGGCGTAGTAGGCACACTGGGTGGGGTCACATTGGCCAGGAGGACCTGGGGGTCCAGGCTGACCATGGGGGCCGGGGTTTCCTGGCTCTCCCTGGGCTCCAGCTTGTCCCGGGCTTCCGTCTTTACCATAACCAGGCAGCCCAGCTGGACCTAGAGGAGGGACAGGAACAATATGAGACTCCAGACTGGTGAAAGAAACCTAATATGAATGAATACAGCAGGTAAGAAACTGGTTCTTACCTATGGGGCCAGGTGGGCCTGT